TCTCACTATGTAAAAGCGTTTTAATAAGATGAGATCCGAGTTGTTGATTTTTGGTGATATTTCCTGTGTGATTGAGGTTTTGGTCATAAAATCTTGGCCTACACCATTAACCTCAAGAGTACTACTTTTCTGTCTTCTAGTAGATTTAGTGTTTGCATTGTCAATGTTTGCATCGTTTAGATCTTTGAACCATTTCAAGTTGAGTTTAGTGCATGGTGCTGATCTAGTTTTAATCCACAGCCCATAGGAAGTTTTCTGCCATTACTTCTGTGAATAGGTTTTTTATGATGTTTTCCCAGTTGCCTGCTTTTTCATTGCCTCTGATCAATCTTATATCATTCTTCTTTGCATCCTTTAGCAGCTGGTGGATCAATTTTTCAAGATGCCTTACTTTTTCAAGAAATCTTTCTTTTCTATTGATAGTCTTTACATTAGCTCATTCTGCTGCATATATATGTATTTTTTTGTCTTTCTGAGATAGAATCTCACTATGCAGTTCAGGCTGGCCTTGGGCTCACTTTGTAGCTCAGGCTGGTCTCAAACTCACAAGGATTCTCCTGCCTCAACCTCCGGAATGCAAGGATTATAGATGTGTGCCACCATGTCTACCTTGCATATAATTTCAATGGAATTTTAACCTGCACACTTGTAAGCACAGCATTCTGGGAGACTGAGACCGCCGGATTCTTGCAAATTTGAGCCCAGCCCAGAGTGACTTACTAGATCCAGTTTGAAAATTAAAAAAAATACACACACACACACACACACACACACACACACACACACATATATATGTGACTGGGAATACAGTCCATACACTGGCTGTGATCCAGTTCTTAAAAAAAAAAAACCAGAGAGAGCAAAAAAAATGTGATATTGAAGTCTGACATAGTGGTGCACGCTGGTAATCCCAGAACTCAGGAGGCTGAGGCAAGAGGATCACTGTGAGTTCAAGGCCAGCCTGAATCATATAGTGAAACTCTACCTCAAGAAAGACCAACAAAACATAACAAAATGTGATGTTAACATGTGTATTCCAAACTCTGAATTATGAGGAAAATCTATTTTCACTTAGTTAGATTTGCATTGTAATTACACAGCTAACAACACTAGAAAGCTCTCAGACAGTGTCTTCTATCTCGGGCATGCCTGTTGAGGATAGAAATAAAAATCCACTTTGGAAGCTGCACACCCAATCTCTAAATAACTGTTTATTGTACCTCCCTTCTGCAGAATGGGCACTGACTTGGGTGAGTGAGAGGAGCAAAGTGCCAGGGCCAAAGCTGTTCTCTCTTTAATGAGACATAATAATAGGCACATTCTCTATGCTACTCAGTAATGAACACATAAATAGAAAAAATAAATGGTCTCTCAAGTTGCTTGGAGCAAAATTTTAGTTCCCACTACAAAGGACTCTTGGCTTTGATTTGTGATGTTTGTGAAGTTTTTACTGGAAAGCACCCTCCTACTCTGTCTCTGCCCCTCTGGCATGGGGACAGTGCACTTTTCCTGAAGGAGGAGGGCATCGAGTTGTGGTAGAGCTAGGTATCCACCAGTGCTAAGGGTTTAGCTCTTCTATTTTATTGTGGTAAAGTGTACAAAAATCTACATTTTAAGTGTATAGGTCAGTGGCACTAAGTACATTCATAGTATTCTGTGCTCCATTTCCAAAATTTCACTGCCCTAAAGAGAGCTGAAACTGTGTACCCAATTAACTAGTACCTTCCCCTCCTAACCCTTCTATGTCACCGTGTGTTTACCTCTTCTGGGTACCTCATACAAGTGTACTCATACGATGTTTATCTTTTCATGTCTGATGCATTTCACTTAACCTAATATTTCCAGGGCTCATCTGTGCTATCACACGGGTCAGAATTCCATTCATTTTTAAGGTTCAGTAATACTCTGTGTTATGGGTTAACTGGATCTTGTTTAGTTGTTTATCCATTGGCAGACACTTGGGTTGTTTTGCCTTGTGGTGATTGTGAATAATGCAGCAGTGAACATTGATGCACACAGCGCTGCAAGTCCTGTTTTCAGTTATTTGAGGTGTACACCTACCTGGTGAGGAGTGGCTGGGTCGGATTGAAATTCTGTGTGTGACTCTGCAGGGAATCACCACGTTTTTCCTCAGCAGCTTCACTGTCTTATATATGTCTCCACCCACAATTCAGTTTCCTAATTCTCAACACCCTGGCTAGCACTTGTGTTTTTATTTTTCCCTAATTTTCCCTTTCTTTCCCTTCTTTTCTTCCTCCCTATCTGCCATCTATCCATCCATCCATCCATCCATCCATCTTCGCATGCTCCTAGTGGGTGTGAAGCAGTGTCCAGCTCTGTGGTGTGGGTCTGCACTTCTCTGATAACTAGAGAATTTAAGCATCTTTTCAAATACCTGTTGGCCTGTTGCACATCCTCACTGGAGGAATGTCTTTCAGTTCCTTGCATGTTTTGAAGTGGGCTGTTTGTGTTTTTTGGTATGTGAAGCTCCTCCTCTGAATTCTTCATCTGGTATATAAGGTGTACTCAGCTGCTGAGTGCCGACTCAGATACACTTTGAAATGTGAGGGTATTGGCAAGGAGACCATTCCACTGCAAAGCTTCTAGACATGTTACCCGAAAGACTGGCTGAGCCTCTGCCTGCCTGGAAAGGAGGGGAACACGAAAATGCATTGAGAGGCCTATGAGAGGTGGTCACCTCAGCCCGTGAGGGTCCCCAACAGCTCATACTGTGTCCTAAGTGTTTCTGCCCAGCCTGCTTCTTTCCTGCTTGATTTAAGGTGACTTTTGCGCTGAAAGGCTTTGACATGAAATCACAAACACAAGGGCTGAGGTTGAAGAATAATTAGATGAGAAATACAGGCTGAAGTGAGCTTTTCCAACCAAAGAAGAAAACTAGACTCTGAGCCTCTCAGCAACCAAAGCAAAAAGAGAAAGCAATGGAACACAGATTATAATAAGAGGACACAAAGATTCATCAGAAAATAGCCTTTCTTTTCCCTTTCTCTGGCAGGAACCACTGCACAAAGCAGCTACAGTGAGAGGGTTGGAGAGTTTGGGCTTCACAGCCTAACCTGGCTTCAAATCCTGCCTTTCTGGGCAGACTACCTCATGACATTGTCATGACTGCTGAGGACAAGGTGAACCCTGAGTCTTCTCAGAGTGCCTGGCACATAGCGTTCACATACTTGCTTAATCTCCCACCACCTCTGTCTTGAGGGCTACATTCTCCCCTGTAGCCTGTGTACAAAAGCTGGGCACATATAGAATCCCAGTATTCTAGGAGGCTGAGGTAGGAGGATCACATGTTCAAGTCAAGGCTGGGCAGCTTAGCAGTTGCTATTACCAAGGCCCTGTCTAAAAATTTTAAAAAGGCTGGGAATGTCACTTACAGCCTGGAACCCCTGGGTTCATCACCCTCCCACCACCACCAAATACTTTTTGTTGGTATTTGTTATCAAGATGGAAGACCTTGCAGCTCCTAGCTCTTTCTGAGAGGTGTATTTACCAGGGCCAATATCAGGTGCCTTTTTCCGGCCTTATAGTTAATCTCTGTCTCCCAACAAGGCTGAGATCAGCTGCTTTATCTCTGACTTAGACCAAAATACAAAGCAAGTTCCTAGGTACTAATTAGTGTGATTACATGGTCTTGTTACACAGCCATATTTGTACAGTATACTTTTTGTTGTCTTTGTTTTGAGACAGTGTCTCACTATGTAGTTCAGGCTGGCCTTGAATTCATAACAAGTCAAGTGCTGGAATTACAGGCATGAGCTACCTCACCTGCCTCATGTTGTCGACTCTTACACGTGCTTTTCTCCCTGTGGGTGTCACAGTGCCCATGAATGTTCCTGTTTGCAGCTGGTGCTCAATAACTTGGCTTAGGAGAGTGTGGAAAGGCTATACACATAGAATGTGGGTGGCAGCCAGGGGAGAAAGCCCTCAGAGTAGAACTCACTCACTTGTATTCAAAGCTCTGGGAGGAGTCTCTATTCATGTTGACTTCTTCTTTCAAATAGCAGGAGGAGGAGGAAAACTCCCATCCAGCTGCAGGCACTCTTCTCCTTAACCCTGGCCTCTGTCGGAACCCAGGCCCCTATACTGTGCTGCATGTTTTCTTCCCATCACTTGAGCTTATCTTGTCTCATGGTGCAGGGAACCTGGAGCACATTTGATCCTGTCAGGTAGTTTAAGGCCTCATTTGTCAGGTCAGTGCTTGACCTTGAGACTTTTTTCACAGTCCATCTTTTGAAATCTTCTTGTTTTATAAGTTACATCTTTTAAAATACCTTTTTTTCTTAAATTATTTGGAACTGTTACCCAGTAAGAAGACTTACTGCAGTGTGTGCACATGTAAATATGCTGTGCGCTCAGGTTATGTCCATTCCTTTAGTGTTTATTTCTTTTTTTCTTTTTTCTTTTTTTTTTTTTTTTTGTCTTTTTTCTTTTTTATCGGTACCAGGGATCGAACTCACAACCACACACTTACAAGGCAGGCATTTATGCCGCTGAGCTAAATCCCCAGCCCCTAGTGGTTATTTCTTTAGTAAAATGGTGAGAATGAAAAAAGATTGAAGCAGACCTGAGTTTGGATCCTAGGATGTGTCCCCCCTTGTCTCAAGCATGTTCCCACATGTGAAGTGGCTCTGATGCCAGCAGCACCTCCCGCACATAGTGGCATGGTAATTGATGGAACCAATCTAGAGTCCTTGGCCTTGGTGACTATCACTTTTAGACTTTCTGTGAAAGTTTCCAACCTGCTTTTTGCATTTACTTTAAAGAGAATTCAGCTGAAGGTCTTCAACCTGGGCTGCTGGTAGCAACAGCAGTGCCTTCTGATCCAAATGTCCTGAGTTCATCCTGGTTTGTAGCTAGACTACTCTGCTGGAGTTGCAGAACCTCAAATATCTTACACAACTACCCCTGTGAGGCACCATGACGATGGAACCAGCCTGCATTTCCCAGAGTTTTCATACTCTAACTTCTCTTTTCTCTTGTAGCTGATGCATTTTTCAAAGCTGCTATAAGCCTCATTCCAGAAGTTCCAAAGATGATAAATATTGATGGAAAGATGCGGCCGTCAGAATCATTTCTTCTGGAATTCCTCTGCAATTTCTTCTCAACCTTATTGATAGTTCCGGTATGTTTCCCCATGAGAACCAGAGGTGATGGCATTCTTTGACCTGCCTTATTTATTCCCAAAAGTGCTGGATGACTGGGCATGGTGCCCACATACCTGTAATCCCAGAACTCTGAGAGGCCAGGGCAGCAGGATCAAAAGTTTGAGCCCAGCCTAGGCAATTTAGGAAGACCTTATCTCACAAAATTGGGCTGGGGTTTAGTTTAGAGCTCTGGGTCCAATCCCTAGTATCACCAAAAACAAACAACAAACAAAAAACCAAAACAAAGTACAAGATTTTCTGTCTACTGTGTGGGCTTTCTGGTTAGATGCTTGAGCTGCTAGTGAATGCTGTACTCTGCTGGGTCTGGGATGTGCCTGCGCTGGTCACCAAGAGCTGCTGCAGCAAAGAACTGTAAGCTGGTTTTTCTGTGGAAGCTGGCAGCTTCCATAACTTACATCTCTCATGGTTCTGGTTCCCAGGGTCAGGGTGCCAGTATGGTCCTGCGGAAGACCCTCTGCTGGGCTGCAGAATCACCATCTTTTCGCATGGTAGGAAAAGAGCCAGGGCAGCTGCTGACCTTTTGGGTCATTGGTCACCTGGAAGCTACTTACCTCCTAATGGTCCCACCTCTAAATACTGTCACATGGGATTAGAGTTTTGAATTTTGGGAGGACACGGATGTTTGGTCTGCACTCTGTCCATTTTCTCTACCTCCAGCTCTGAAGTCTTGCCTGGTGGTCAGGGTGCAGCCTGAGGCCTTCAGATTCCTGGGCTGGAGTCCAGTTCCTTTTCCTCCCAGCTCTGAAGTCTTGGCAGGCACATTCCTGCCCTGCAGCCTCCTTGTCTGTAAAGTGAGAATAGTAATAGTTTATACCTTTTTGGGTTGTCATAAGGACTGGGTTAGTGAATCTATGGAATGTGATCCCCATAGTAAAGCTTAACATGTAGTAAGCACTAAAAAATAATGCATAGTGGTGATATTCTTCAGACAGAAAGTAACAGAACTGAAAACAAGCTCCAAGGGTTTGAAAGAGCATTGTTGGAAGAATGCTGGTTTTTTGGTGGCCGTAATAGGTAGGCCTGGGCCAAAGGAAGTTGAGGCCTTCAGGGACTAGCAGCAGCAATCCTGGACTCTCTCTTGAGCTGGGGATCTGAAGCTCTTAGCTCAGGGTCCTTACTCTGGGATCTGCCTGCTCCCTGGAGGTCTAGAGTGACCATGAATTTGAGTTTAAAAAATGACGTCTGTATTTTCACAAACCTCTGAATGAAGTTTGCCCTTCATGCAGTTATGAATTAGAGGCAACAAGCCACCATAGTCATGGCAGTAGCCTGGACTTTTTTTTAATTTTAATTTTTATGAGTATATGTTTGCAGTACTTATATTCATTGTGGGAAGCTGGAACACATACAGAACTCCTTTTTCACACCCGTCACCCCAAGTAGCTGGGACTTTGTTACCAAAGAAATCAACAAATATCTCTGTATCACACCACATGTGTGAAAGACATTTCAAAAGAGCCTCTTCCTTAAAAAACGTGGTAGTTTATCCTTTTGCCAAGCTGGTGAAGCATTCACAACCATCAGACTTGTTGACCTTTTCAGTGCACAAACGCACAGGAGAAAATGTTTGCACAACTGTATTTTAGTGTAATCAGTATCCTTTATAGTCTTCATGCTTTATTTTCTGTATTAAAAGTATTCCCAGGAGTGCCTACTATAGGTTTTACCTGGCTGCTGCAGGGTTGGTTACATAAAACACATTTAAAATCCCTCTACAATGTGCTTGAGCCAGATGTGGCTCTGAATTAGCAGACACTTGTAAAAATGCAGATTCCTCTGGCCTGCCCCAGAGAGTGTCTTTAGGAGGCCAAAACAGTCCACAGATCAGTGTCTTTGGAAACTTCCTCTGTAGTTCGGAACGGGATCCTAAGGCTATCTTGGAGAGGCATAACACTGAACTTTGGCCAGGAAAGTGACTCAGCTCCCAGAGTTCCTTTCTGCGTGATGAAATATTCTGCCATCGATTGTGGTGATGACTGCACAACTCCCAGCCACCTTAACAGTCCTTACATTGTGCAGTTGAAACAGGGGTATTGTTTGGTATATGGATTTTGTTTCTCAAGAAAGCTGAGAAAACAAATAGCGACTCAGCTGTGGGCTCTCCTTGTTCAGATTCCAGATTCTCAGGGGAGAGGCTCGGAAGGCTTTGTTCCAGGACTGTGGACCCAGCCACAGGTAGAGGCTGCATCCAGGAGGAGGGGACAATCCAGAGTCAAATGGGACGGCACCTCTCCAGTTCCTTCCTAGGATGCTTGAGTTCAGGGCTTTTTTACACCCTGGAATAATAAAAACTTTTCTTTTTTTTTTTTTTTTTGGATAGTCTAGTTTTTATCATGTGGGGAGACAAAAAGGAAAAAATTTGAGTTTCCATTGAGGCAGTTGGAAGTGATGAATTAGAGTGTGCTCACTGGCTGTACATAGGGTTTTCTGCCGGTTAAAAACGACTGAGTCTCTGAAAAAGCTTTATCCTCAGAGTTAGAAACTTGGCTTCAGTCCTGACTGACATTTTTTATCTGTGGAGTGGTAATTCCTCCCTCTCCCTTGCCCTTCCACTGCAACACCCTTCACTCCCTGATATTTCGCAATTTGAGATTCTTCATCTAAGTGGACTCATGTAGTATTAGTCCTGAAATTGGTTTTTTTCACTTAGCACAATGTTCTTAAGACTCATGCTTGTTGTTGCATGTTGCAGCCTTTACTTTTAAAGGCTAAATAGTATTCCATTTTGTGTAGGCCCCTTTTTCTTATGTATTCATCTGTGGAAAGAAGGCAAGGCTATAGTTCACTAGGTGCAGGGGGAGAGCAGAGAGCACAGTGCACCTCCTGCATTGGCATGAGTGCAGGGGAGGTGCTGGAGAGACACGAGCCAGTTCCATAGTAGCAGCAAGCTGATCGTCAATCCCCACTCCTATCTGCCCCTGCTCAGCACCCCTTTCCTTTCCTGTCATTCCCATGCACTTTACTTCTGGCTCCTTTGCTAATAGGCCTTATTACTTAACCAACATGTAGATCTACAGCGAACAAGCCAGCAGGTCACAAATAGTTACTCAAAGCTTGAAATATTGTTTGTTGCCTAGAAGTGGAAACTGAGGCATAGAGAAGTAAAAATCCCCACCTAGTAAGTGACCTTACCAAGATGCAACGCCAGGATGTCTGTGTTCTATTGCTATCTCTGCTGTCTCCCACGTTAGCTGTCCTGGAAGTCAGTCATGTCTCAGGTGTTGCTTGTGAGGTGTAGAGGGAGGATTCTTGCAGACAACAGGAAACTTGGAGGTGCAAACTGGGCCGCCTTAGGAGCCATCCTATCACATCCAGCTGTCCTGCCTGAAAGGCAGCTTCGTCCAGCACACTAGGGGAGCCCTTCCTGCATGCAAGTGCCATCTGAATCTAGGACTTTTGTAATCTTTTAAAAACTCCATTCTGTTTTGCTTCAGTTGTTGACACTGAACCATCAGAGAATATATAAAAAAATTACAGCTACTGCAGTATGGATATTACATAGCAAACTTTTTCCTGGTATAACAAATTGGAAATAATCTCTCTGCTTTGATTGTGAGAAAAAGCTCATGGAACTGGCATGCTGAGAATGTTTTCTTTCCCACTGACCCTTGTTCCATCTTTTTAAAGGTGTGTCGAATGGTCTACAAGAGTTGTGGCATTTGGGTTGAAATTAAGTTGCTAGAACATTCAGATTGTTATCTATTCCCAAGGAAGATCCTTAAATATATTTTGAATATCCACATAGCAGAACAAAATAGCCTAGTTAGAAACAGCTGTGAGCAGGGGCAGCCGGCTGTAAGCTGCCAGCTGGGCCTGCTCTAGATGGAAGGTTCCATAGCCTGGGAAGTTCACATGTGTGCATTTGACTTGTGAGCATCATTGTGGCCTCTTCCTTGCCAGTATCATGGGATTGGTCCCCGGAGATGTGACAGCTTGTGCAGAACACAGAACACCTCATGCCCCTGACCACTGTTCTCATACATGGACAGTGTCACTTTTGTGTCTGGATGACGCTGCTGTTCTCTTGTAGCCCCCTCAACAGTAGCATTTTTCATGCTCCACGTCTTCTTTCCAAAAGAATAGATTTGCTGGGCATGGTGGCACATGCTCTAATCCCAGGACTCGGGAAGGCTGAGGTAGAAAGATCTCCAGTTCAAGTCTAGCCTAAGCACCCTAGTGAAACTCTGTATCAAAAATATTTTTTTAAAGGCTAGGGATGTATTAAGCCCCCAATACTGAGGGAAAAAAAGGGGGATCAAATGGCTAAGTCCTGGGGACAAAGATCCCAGGCAGAAGAAACATTTCATTCAGATGGAAGATTAGAGCACCCCTAAAATTTGAGTTGATTCCCTGGTGGAGTCCTGCTGAGATGGGGACATTGGACTCTGGGGACTGTGTCCCCTGACCTGCCTTCTTACTTCCAGTCTGTTCAGCCAACAGGAGGCAGGTTAGAGGGCAGGGAGAAAGATGCTGGGGGTGCACATCCCCTACCACTTCTGTGCCATGCTCTAGCAGTGGCTTTGTCCTTTCACCTTGGGCCACATCTCTTACCAAGTGGCCTCCAGATGCAGGACCTTTAGGCTTCAACAGTGCCCTCCCCGTGGCATTCTTTCCAGGTGGACAGTAGCAGTGCCATGCCCTGCTACCTTTCCTCACTACTTCCCTTTCTGCTGATCTGGTGTCATGTATACCCTTTGTTACACCTTCCTCATCTGACTGGTTGGAGTGCCTGCTGGGACCCCAGTGGGGTGGCTGGGTGGAATGAGGGGACTCTTCAGGCAGGGCCCACATGGAATGTCCAGCAGCTCTCAGCAGGGAGCCACATAATTGCACACATCTCTTTCTGAAACTGCATGGAAGCTGCTTGCTTTTGTGCATTGTGATCCTTTTTGCAAGTGCTATGTAAAGCCTGAAACTCAGGCCAGTTTCCCAGAAGAGTGTTCACAATTTGACTGTCACTCCTGGTAAGCATCATGGGGTGCAGGGCTATATTTAAAGTGAGTGCCTCCATTGGTGATAGTGATTGTTTGGGGCTTACCCATGGGATGGCTTTGCTGTCCTATTTGCTGTATGACCCACAATCTTGCTTTCATAATTGACAGAACAGTGATAGAATTCCAGCGTGGCTGAAAAGAGAAGAAGTATGAAATATAAATGACCTTTATTTTAAGAATGTGGGGAGAGACCCCCTGACCCTCCGGGGTCTGGCATGGTCTCTGGGGGCTGGCATTCTCTCCATTGGACATGTGGAGTTGGGGGTGGTGCCTAAGGGGCATTAGTGATGCACGGTAGCCCATTGATACTCATTTCACGCCACAGGTAAATTCCTAGGGGCGGGGAAGATGACCTCAAGATAGAGCCTCTTGGTTCCGCCTCCAAGGCTTTACCAGCTACAGTGTCTCATTTGGGCCAAAATCCTTTAAAACAGGAGTTTTTTTTTTTTGTTGTTTTGTTTTTTTTAAGCCCCTGTTAGAATAAGAGAGTAATTCTGGAACCAGGTATTATTAGACTGATGATATCTGCTTTCTATCTATTGTCCACAAAAAGGTTGTCTAGGGTTTAAGCAACGCCTTGTCATTTTACTGTGTTTTTTACCCAGGCTGCCTTTGTGAAGTGACTGGTACTCTTATCTCTACAACTGCTAGAGGGAGGGTCTTGGGTTTCTGTGTTGGTTTGATTTTTCCTCTTTCCATGTAGAAGTTTTAATCTTGTTTTGCTTCTCCACCAGGATCATCCTGAACATGGGGTCCTGTTTCTTGTTAGAGAACTTCTCAATGTGATCCAGGACTATACCTGGGAGGACAACAGTGATGACAAAATCCGCCTCTATACTTGTGTCCTGCATCTGCTGTCTGCCATGAGCCAGGAGACCTATCTGTACCACATAGACAAAGGTAGTAGAGTCCTTTCCTTCCAGCCTGCACCATGCTTGGATTTCCTGGGAGAAAGAATGTGTTCATTGTCTTTTTATTTTCCTTTTGCCTAATATTTCTGCTACTATGAATTCCTAGTCAGGTGATTTGCTAAATTTACCTCTCCCTACGACACTTCTGAGTTTCCTGCTTGAGAATGTATTTCACAGACATCTGAGGCATTTTGACTTGAGCCAAACTTGGAGCAGTACTCTTGCGTCACTGTTACTAACCTGCAATGATGGCTCGGGTGTTCAGAGAAATAGGCTTCATCCCAGGCGTCTTCCTAACCTGCTGCCAGCAGGTTCCGGTATAGGCATTTGTAGTCTGTGTAGCTCAGGGCCTGTGGAGGAGGGAGATGATCATTTAGAATTTTCTGGTATAGGTTTGAGAACAGCCTTGCCATGTCCTGCCTACAACATGGGATAGTCCCTAAGCCTATCCTTGTCCTCTGAGCCTCTGTACTCCTTATGAGACTCTCAGTTCCAAGCTTTGGTTTTTAAAAATGGAAAAATGACTCTAGTGTTTGGCCAGTAATTATATATTCTAGGATTTTTTAAAAAATCTCTATACATGGAAATTGCTGTGACCAAATTGTCAGTGCTAAGGGATAGCCTCAGGCTGTGCCTAGCTGGGATTTAGGGACCAGTGACACAGATGTGACTCAGGGAGGCCAGCCAGTGTTAAAAGATAGCCTCTATGATCAGGGCACACACATTTTTCTCAGGTGGGTGCCTAGGAGGGGAGTTGCTGGCTGATAGGATTTGCTGATAGTTAGCTTCAGTTTGTGCTACCTCCCTGTTTTTCTAAGCAGTTATACCAGCAGATGCTTTTACTGGGCCTAAGTGAGGGTCCATTCACTGTGATAAAATTGCTTTCAGTGTGGCTATTTTGATGGTGAAACTTGCCTTTCTCTAAAAGCTAAATGAGATGGGACATCTTTTCCTTTATTCATTTACTATTTTATTTCTCCTTTTATAATATGAATGTGGAGGGCTCTGGACAGCAGAAGATTTTGAAGAACAAACAAGGACACAGTCACAGGCCTCTGACCCATAGGATCTATCAGAGAGCGTGCTCCGCCCTGCCCTTTCTCTCCCTTGGCAGGTTTAGTGCATCCTATCTCAGACCAAGACCTCCAGGGTAAGCAGAGGGAGAAGTTTATATCTAAGGAGCAAGAGCTTAGTTTTCTAGTTTTTAAAAATGCAAACAGAAGGGTGGATCTTCTTTTCCTTCTTTCCAGCCAGTTGTTTACTCTGGGTGCATAGCAGTGACCTTACAAATGTCTTAGTAGATGCAGGGTCAGACTGGGGCCACCAGCTCTTCACTTCCTTTTCTGTCTAGGCAGCCTTTTACCAGTATTGACTTGGCTTGAAACTTATAGAAAAGAGGGCTTAAATAATTTTCACATCCACAAAGGATGCCTCAGCTACTTTCTTCTCAGATTAATAAGACTGTTCCGATGTTACCTGGAACAATACTCCAGTGCTTTCCAGCAAGCTTGTGAGATGTAGAAATGAAGAATGTTTATTTAATATTCAGATAGATTATCATTGGCAGAACACAACCCAAATGTTCCTGTGAAGCCACCCTAACCCTCTTTACTCTTCTACATTCCTTACCAGGCCCCTGAAGCATTTGGGATTGTGACCCCTGGGTCAGGCAGATGCAGAGTCCATGGGCTATTTTGAGTGGCCATTTGCCAGGATCGTCATTTCTCCCCATCTCTAGGGCCGTGTTGTGTATGAACTCTTAAGGTCCTCTCTACACTCCCACCTGACCACATTACTTGTTATTCTCAAGTTTAACCCTTTCTTCTGCTCTGACCACCAAGTGTTATCACAGAGAATTCACCTTTTCCCACTCTGAATTCCCCGAATTCAGCCTTCAGGGCTTCTGCCTGATTCCAGAACTCCCTCTGAAGCTCAGATTTGACAGTCCTGGGACTTGTGCACTGCTCCTCCTGGCACTCAGCGCTCCCTGTTGTGATGGCTTGTCCATGAGGGCAGGGTCAGACCAGCCTTGTGACCCTCCGGGGTCCCCAGTTCTAGGCCAGAACCTGGTGAGCGGGCCTCATGCAAGGAGTGTCCTGCATGGGAGCATGTGAATGCATGTGTGAATCAGTGAGCTGCCTGCTCTCTACTCACCCCAGCTTCTCCCTGTTCTCCTGTGAAGACTGATCAGAATAAGACATCAACCCAGGGGAAGACTGAGACTTTATCCCCAGAACTATTCTTGGCCTGAGTACACATGAGAAATTCATTAGCTACAGTTCTGCACTCCTCAGAATCGGGGTGGTGAGTGGCTGAATCAAATGCTTTCTCCTCCTCCAAGAATAACTACATTGGAGATAGTACTTGCAGCTCAGCAGCCATAGCCATCTTAGGAATCCAGAGTTTGAGCCCAGTATGGTGGGTCCATAACTGTGACCCCACCACTCTGGGAAGCTGCGGCAGGAGGATCGAAAGAAAGTTCAAGCCCAGCCTGGGCAACTAAGCAATACCCTATCCTACTTTCTGTTTCTATGACTCTGCCTATTCTCAGAACTTCATGTGAGTAGAATTATACATTATTTGACTTTTCATGTTGACTTCATTTCATTTGGCATACTGTCTTCATTTTGTAACATTATCAGCATTTCATTCATTTTTAAGGTTGAGTAATACTCTGTAAAATGGATAGACCACATTGTATTTATGCACTCATGTATTGCTGTTTGAATTGTTTCTATCTTTTGACTATTGTAAGTAATGCTGTTGTCTCTAGAACCTGGCCAAGATTCCCAACTGCCCGTATATGAGAGTACAGCGAAAGGATGAAATAACAGAGACAAAGATATGAAGAGGCCTAGGAGGCCAGTGCCTCAGGATGGGCAGAGACAAAGATGTTCCAAGCCAGCCACTGTATATTGGGTATATACAGTAATAGGATGGATTAGCGGGAGACTCAGAGGTCAGGACTCAGTGGCAGTGCATCATTTGGGATGACTCAAGAGAGCAGAGATGATCTTATGCTAAGAAGGATCTTGCCCTGAAGTGTTTTTTAATCTTACTGGTTTTAGTTTTACTCTTAGGGGGTGGGAGCAGGTGGCCCATCCCTAAAGAGATAATGGGAAATCTCAAAAGGGTAACACCAATAACCCCAAATTTCCTTCCTCAGGAAAGTATGCAGAATTAGCCATTGTGAATCCGTGGTCCCCAGCACTGTTGTGAACATTGGCGTACAATTATCTTTGAGTACCAAGTTTCAATTCCTTTGAGCATATACCTAGAATCAGCATTGCTGGGTCAGATGGCAATTCTAGTTGTATGTGTGTGTTACGGAGGATTAACCCCAGGGCTGTCCTGCCTTTGCCCTTTTGATTCATTTTGATACGTTGAGTGATTGATTGGTTGATTGAAGGCAGCAGCTCCTTATCCTGCCCAAGCTCAGTGTCCCGGAGTTCTGAGATCACAAGCATCTGACTTTTGATGACCCCTCTCCCCCATGCCGTGCAGTTTTCCAGAGAGGCAGCACCACACTCTGTTCCTGCTAGCAGTGCACAGGCTATAGTCTCTGCACTTTCTCACACTTGTCCACATTTTCTTTAATGTAACTATTCTAATAGGCATGAAGTGACACTGGATATTTCTAGCTTTTTCTAAGTAATCCAAATTATTAAACTACCAGTAGTTTTCCATGCCCTCAAAACTGAATATCATCAGGTTTTTGAGAAGGAAGTTTTTCTTTGGTTTTAGTTTTCTGTTCTTTGACTACTGATGATGTTCATTTCTTCTTTTTAAATTTTTTTTGGTTTGTTTTTCTTGTGCTATTTTTTTGAATTTTTTTCACTAAATTATAGGCCATGTAAATACACGATAGTCCCTCAGTTCACAAACTTAATTTGCTTCACCATTTTAGAGAAGATGGCCATGATTGTGTTTTTGTGGGGAAGGTAGCCATAGTTGTCACCTGATGTGGAGTTTGTGAGCAGAAGCAAAATTTCGTTGAATGCTTTGAAAACCAAATTGCTTGAGAACAGAAGCATTTGTGAATGTGGTATTACTGTATTTTGGAAGCATTGACGTATTTGCCATTTTTCCTCTTACAGTTACTTTTGTAACTGCTCAGAGACCATTTCTGCACCTTGTAACTTAGTTTTCTTGGCAGGTGTCTGTTATCATGATCCCCTGTGTCTGTAGCCCATAGTCAGGTGAATAGTCTGTGCAGTCCCTGGCAGGCAGTTTGTGATGACCGGACTGTCCTTTGTACCCGTTCCTCTCAGCCTTAGCCTTCTGCAAGTGAAACCTTGTGCTATTTCTCCCTCACTTATACAACCTCGCTGCCCTACTGTGTATCTCATAATGTCTCTTAGTAACTGTGCGACAACATGGCACAGGATTCTTTCCTCTTGTCCTTTATAGACAATGATGAAATGAGGCAGAAAAAGCACAACAAACTACATTCTAGCAGCTAAGCAAGCTGGATCCCTAAAGGCAGAACTGGGTTAGCATAGAGCACATGTGGTCACAGACTCTGGAGGGGCACAGGTAGCCCCAACCTCTGGAGGCACAGGTAGCCCTGGTTTATCAGATGTTCTCCACCTGTGATAGAGTCACACAGAAGAGGCCCCAGCAGCCTGGAAGCAGCAGGAGCTGCCTCCGTATTCCTCTTCCTGGCCACTAAGTGCTGCGGTGGCTCCAGATCCCCATGCTGAGCCAGGCTCCCCCAAGAGCAGTACTTGTGCTTCAGATGACTGCATTTGGCCACATATAAACCAGCATTGAGGTGCCGGGGTAACAGCAGCTAAAAAGGGACCCAGTGGGAAAAGGGGTGTGGAAGCTCATGTGATTGTGGAAAGAATGAGTAGTGTAAAGTGGATGCAGAACTAGCTCCAAAATGTATCATGAAGTGAAAACAGCAGTCTCTTTTGTCACCCAGAGGTGGCCAGGCTTTGTGTAAGGTTGGTGGCAGGAACTGAGGAAGGAAGCTCACACGTGTGCTGTCCTGGGCTGGACTGGCCTTTCTCTAAGTAGTGGTTGTCATACAAGGTGACCAAGGAGAGCATGAAGAATTTCTCACCAAAGGACGCTGTCGGAGTGCTCCTAGCTTCGAGAACTTGAAAGCTAGTTTTAAGGAGGGGATGAAAGGGCAGGCAGCCAGATGAGTTGTTCAGAACCTGGAATCAGACCTACTGGTTTAGGGTCTCAGCTAGGACCACCTCTGAGCCTCCGTTTTCTTCATCAATAAAAGGAAAATGTTCACATCAGCTCTTTAATGTACTGGTTGTGAAGACTAGAAAAACTGAGTAGTGCCTGGCAGCAAGCTGCTCTGGAGGTCACAGTGATGATTGTTGTCCCCTCCATGGATGGGCCAGAGGGAGGATTTCTATGCCACTCTCTGATGTCTGTCTCTGGCTCTGACTGCCCTGTAGGCCAGGTGTTTTATGAACTTTAAGGCCAGTGGAAAGCTTTAGACATTTGTGTTTGTCCTGCCATGACTTCCTGCCATCTTCTGACACTGTGGCACAGCATGTACTCCTTGGCTTTTTGTCTGATGTTGGAGATGGAACCTGGAGCCTCACAAATGCTTGGCCAGCACTCTACCACTGAGCTTCACCTTCAGTTCTGTCTGTCCTTGTTTGTTCAACCAGTCGACTCCAATGATAGCCTGTACGGTGGAGACGTGAAGTTCCTGGCTGAAAACAACAAGCTGTGTGAGACCGTGATGGCTCAGATCCTGGAGCACCTGAAAACCCTGGCCAAGGACGAGGTGGGTGCCTGGAACTGAAAAGCATACATTTTCAAGGTGGTTGAATGTTGGTCCTAGAAGGGAAAGGATTTCATAGGAGTAATGCGTTTAGGGGCAAATTGTGCACTGAACACTCCAGGGCCTTTGATCCTGCTGTTTTTGTCTGTCTGGTTCTCACCATTCACATCTGAGCTCCCAAGTGCAGTACCTCCACCAAAGAGGCCATCCTAGACCCCTCTCAGGGAGCACCATGTACCTGCTTCTCTGTGAAAACATTGGACTTAATCACTGTTTACTTCAGTAATGTTCTGTGTATCAGCCTTACCCCAATCAGAAACTCTGTGGCACTGAGGCCTCAGAAGGCTCGCAGGTCTGCCTATGCCCAGATGATGTGTCTTTGACAAGCCCGGGCACAGGCATCCACTGTCACTCACCATGTCAGTTCCTTGCCTCTGCCACATGGAGCCAGCATATTGCACCAGGTGCTCCAGCAGGACATGGTGAATACACAGCACTTTACCACATGCAGCATCCTTGTGAGAGATAGGCACCATGTTTATACCCACAGAACAGAAAAGGAAGCAAGCTCAGAGATTTTTGTGAGGGTTTTTTGTGGTGTTCTGTTCAGTGGAACTGGGGATTAAATTCAGGAACTTCACACTAAACTACATCCCCAAACTTTTATTATGCTAAGTCCCCGCACATGGGCTTAAACTTGCCTCATGCCACAGCCTTCTAGGAGTGGCTGTGTGCTGGGATGCAGGTGTGCACCACCGTGCTGGCTGATGCTGACACAACAGCACAAATTATAGCCTGGATTCCTAAGTCTAACCTCTGGCCTCCTCAACCACGGCCTTTCCTCCTTTCATCTCTCATCAGTGGCTTGCCTGTTATCTCACTGTCTTCCCAGCCTCATCACCTCTTATCATATTGAGAGCTCTGCATGAGTGGTTTCATTTAGTTGTTTCACACTGACAGGAGGAACCTGACCCCAAGAATACTAGCTGTGGCTACAGTCAAGGCAGCCTTCTGAAACCCCTGTGCCTGTTTCCAAAATGTGTTGTCAGATGCTGTGTCTCTGCACAGCATTTGGAATGGGTTTTCCATCTTCTCCATATAGACAGGTGATTGAGTTCAGTATGCGTTTGCCAGGTTCTTTTCCTGGGTATGCTGACCACAGCTTTTGTTTCTATATTTTGGCCCAAATGTGTGACATGTGGATCTCAGAGATCTTTCTTTGGGGTTTTTTGATTTGTTTTTTGTTTTTGGTACTGGGGATTGAACTCACCACCTCATGCTTACCAGGCAGGTGCTTATGCCGCTGAGCTACATCCCCAGTCCTCGATCCCAGAGATTTTGTGTTAGGCTCCGATGGGAACGTTGTTAGTCTGCAGATGCAGGCTTGTCTGTTAATTCAGTCAGGGTGGATTCCTGATGTTCCGTAGTCTGCAGAAGGGGTATATTGGCAGCATCACAGGTGTCCAAACTGCTGCCTGGCCTGTCATACTTCTCCAAGCCTCCCATCAATTTTACTGTTCACCTTCTCTGAGCTGTGTGCTGGAAGCTCTGAGTGTTTCACTCTATTCCTATCTAGTGTGAGGTGTTACCTGACAACTCGTTCCTGCTCTCATCTTGGCAGGCATGGGCCTGTTCTCTCCTACTGCCCATTCACCCAGCTCTCAAACCTAAGGTCATCTGTGACTCTTGTTCTCAGTGGCCTTTCCCACCACCCCATTATGAAGCACTTGCCCTTCCCCCGTTCCTTGCTCCTTCTTTCCTGCTCCTTCCTCCTCTGTGGTTTCCTTGTTGCCAGGTTTTGCTCCTATATCCCATCCCCATCTCATATCCTTTTTTTTCCTTATATCCTTTTGAAACTGTTCAAACCTTGAAGAGAGATCAAACTGGATTTTAATTATTACTCATTTCCAGAATTACAGAGAATACTGCCTTCAGTGTTCTCAAAAAAAAAAAAAAAAAAAAAAAAAAAACAAAAAACAAGAAAAAACACTGCAAACCTGTTAAATTGCTGTAGATGTTCACATAAAATGCAGTCATCCCGAAGTCCAAGGGGCTTTGCTGTCAGGACCCCTACAGATACCAAAATCCACAGGTGCTCAAATGCCTTGTATGAAATGGGGTAAATAGTACAGAGCTTGATATAACCCTATGCACATCCTCCTGTGTACTTCAAAGCATCTCTAGATCACTTACCCTATACAGTGTAAATGCTGTATATAAGCAGTTGCTATACCATGTAGTTTGAAGAAGAATGACAAGAAAATGAAGTCTGTGCACACCTGGTTTAGGCAAAGTTTTTGTACTGAGTGTTTTCCATCCCTGAGTTGACTATCTACAGAACTTAAACAGAATATGGAGGTCAACTGGGCCTACATGTGTGTCTCGGTTCCCATTCTCTCCAAGGTATTCAAGCCTTTGCTGGAGAGAGTGGCATTTTTTTGGACTCCACCCCAAAGGGCTCTGCCAAGTACAGGGCCCTGAATGGCAGCCTTAGGATCAGTAGCTCGAAGTAGCTGTGTTGGGGGCTTAGTGCTTCCTAGCACCTCACAGTGCCCATTCCAGAGGAGAGCATGTATGTTGCCCCTTGGAGCGAAACTGGGCAAGCTCAAGCAAAGAGGGGATTCAGGGATCGTCCATGGAAGAAACAATGTTGAATCCCTAGTTAGGAAAACTGGTTTATGAAACCAGGGAGGATCAGCAGAGGCACTCCCTATTCCTGCCCTAATCCCCTTTCGTGAACTTAGTGCAAACTCTGAAGGTCGGGGCCCTGCTTCTCCTTGTCTGGATAGGTGTCTTCCACAAGGGAGCCTTGGTACACCACAGGAGAAATGGAAGCACCCTTTACCTTCAGCTTCCATTTTTATGCTAATCAGATCTCCCCATCCCATGGAAAATCCTTCTGCCATCTCTTCCCTGATTTCCTAAAACCAGAGACTCTGCAGCAGCAACAGGTCTTAAGGCAGGCAGCCACAAAAGCTGTGCTACACAATCTGAAAATAGATTTGTCATGCTCAGGCAGTCAGGTTTCATCAGCGGGACCACTGACCATAAATGATCATGGCTACTGCCCCCAGCATGCAATACAAATATAGCCATATAGTTTGAATTATTTTAATATTTTTCTTGTAACTTTATGGAGAGGGAAGTGGAGCTTTTGATGGTAATTACTCTGAAAGGCTTCTGAAAAATAGGAAAGGTGGATATTTCTAAGGCTGTTTCACCTTGCATCAGACTTGGGGACTTGACTAAAAATGTCCAGATGTGCATATTTTTTGGAGAAATTTGGTGAAACTAAATGCTTCCTCACTGTTTTAACAATTCCACGTGAAGTTCAGTATAGCTGTCCGCATAGGTTGGAGTTTTCCGGTAATTACCCCCGGGAGCCTGAGGTCAGTCATGGGGGCCTCCCCAAACCCCCACAATCACTGGCCTATCTTCCACTCAGGGGCAGTGGTCCCCCACTGCTGATGTGTCACATCTGCTAGTGACGGTAACAGCCCCGTTTTCCAGAATTGACCTCTGAGGAAGGAGTCAGCCCCATTGTAATCATGAGCCTTATGAAGATGTCTTGGTGTGGTAAGCTGGGAACCTTGCCAGACCCCTAGAGCTTCCTGGAAATGACAAATCTCAAGAACAGACGGAAAAGCAGCTCTTTTCTATTTAAAACCTCCATGGAGAGCAGTGATGGCCTGAGGCCCTGATCTAGCTCTGCTGTGCCGTGTTTGTGTTTTTCTGTCTTGGGATATCCGCTGGCATGGCTCTGCAGCCGACATGGCTCTGGTGGTTTTAATGGGCCATGGCATTAAAACACTTGGAATTGAGGTTTTTAGGATAAAATGCTTATTGAAGAATTCTGTGGCAGACAAATCCCCAGATACTGTTCTTTGTTCGACTGTTTAAAAATCCTCCTCACTTCAGTGAAATGTAGTTATAAGGCCTTTCTCAGGGCCTTTTAGATTTGAAGTAGAATTTTCTTTTTTAGCTTAGCAGTAAAACAAGCATCCTATGCCAGGCAGCAGACATGGCCAGTTCCAGAGGGAAGCAGATGGGCACAGAGTGCGGATTGGGGCAGGACCACAAGGTCTGATGGATGCCTGAAGCCAGAGTCATCTGCCAGGCAGGTGCCACTTCTCTCGCCGTGCCTGCTGGCACAGCACACTCACTTCTCCACAAGCTGCTTCCTGACTATGATGCCCACTGTAGGCATGCGGTATGGGCAGGCTGTGGACACAGGCTTGGGCTCTAGTGTGCCTAAGCTCACGTCTTCTTTGGAGCCTCCCAGCAGGGACCTGGGACATTTTCCTTAGCTCCTCAGAGCTTTGGGTTCATTTGCACAGTGGGAGTGTCAGCTTCCTGTTGCTGTGCATACAGCAGTCACCATCTTGGCAGCTTACACCAGTACCCAGGGACAGCTTGACAATCAGGTAGGTGAGAAGCTGGCACTGCCTGGGCAGGTTGGGTTCCAGGTTTCACAAAACTGAATTCAAGGTGTTGGCTGGTGGCATTCTTACTGGAAAGCACGTAACTGCACGTAGTTGTGGAACTGAGGTCCTGCCTCTAGTGGCTATTGCCCGTGGTTCCTTCTCACCGTCTGGAAGCTGCCTGCATCCTTTGACCCACTTCTTGCATTGTGAAAGCCAACAATGTGGATCAAGACCATTAAACCCCTCTGACCTTCCTCCTTTCTGCCTCATCTTCCCTATTCTTTCTCTTCCCACTGCTTGTGTCTCTCTCTGGCCAGATTACTTTTTCTGCTTTTAAGGGCTCAAGTCATTCAATTGGGCCCATCCCCATTATTCCACCTGCAGCCAGGGGATAGAATGGAGCATTACCAGTCATATGGACTAGATCTGTTGTGTGAGGCATAGAGCAGTGGCCCTGGCATACTCTTAAAGTCTGCACCCTTTAGGTGCCTGGGAACAAAGCATATGAACAAGCAGGACTCCCCAGCAAGGACCTGGAGCACTGGCTCACCAGTGGCCAGCACTATATGATTTGGCTGGCCCACCTGTCAGTGTGGCCTTCCTAGGTGTCTGCATTTACCTTTGGAAAGCTGGGGCTTCAGTTTGGTTTGCCCCGACTAGGATTGATTCTTGGAGAAGCTGGATGTCAGCACCAAACCTTGGAGCACTCTGTTCATGAGAATTTGAGGCAGGGATGATGACTATAGCTTTCGGCAGCTTGTGGACATCTGAAAGAGACATACTGATGCCTTCTGGCTGTAAATTGTGCTTGCACTGAAGTGAGGCTTTTCACTGCGTGGTAAGTTTCTCTTTATTTTTTGAGACAGGATCTTCTTGCTATGTAGCTCAGACTGGCTTGAAGTCACTGTGTAGCCCAAGCTTCCTACAGTCCTCCTCTCTGTCTGTTGAATGCTGGGATTATAAGCATGTGCCATCACACCTAGCTATTGCTGATTAATTAAGTTTCATTCCCTGATTGAATAACCTCTGAGTGTCTTCCATGTTACAGATGAGGCATGGAAGCTAAACCATCTCACTTGTCAGTTCAGATGAGTGCTGGGACTTGGAGGTGAAGCACCTTTTCCTACAGCAGATAGGGAAACAAGTGGCAAATGTGCATTTGAACCCAGGTCTATTGTGACTACTTGGTCAGCGTTGTTCACAGCCCAAGCCCAGGCCTAAAACTTTCCCTTTTTCTCTCAGGCCCTGAAGCGTCAGAGCTTGCTGGGCCTCTCCTTCTTCAACAGCATCTTGGCCCATGGAGATCTGCGCAACAACAAGCTTAATCAGCTCTCTGTCAACTTGTGGCACCTAGCACAGAGGCATGGCTGCGCAGATACCAGGACCATGGTAAGGTGTTCTGTGGGCTAGACATCAGGCTGCCCTAGGCTCCCCTTTTAAAGAGGCCAGGCCCAAGAATTCTGCTGCATTCCTTCTCACTGCTAAAAGGCATGGCATATCAAGTGTATGCCCTCTGAAATTCATACATATAAAAACTTCAGTGATTCCTGGCCAAACCCAGGAATTCAAGGGCACATTACAACCTTAAGTTTGCTTTTAAAACTGACTTTCCCCCTTGCACCATCCTCCAAGATTCCCTACCCTCTGCTAAGAAGTGTAATTCACAGGCTAGATAATCTGTCAGAGCCTTGGGCTCCAAGGATATAGTTAGGAGCCAGAAACAAGATGGATTTTTCTTTTTCCTCCTAGGTGAAAACTCTGGAATATATCAAGAAGCGAAGCAAACAGCCAGGCATGAATCATCTAACTGAGCTGGCCCTGAGACTCCCTCTGCAAACAAGGACCTAACTCTGGTCCCCCATGAGCCTGTCCCCAAGGACTCTAGCACCAAGTCCAGAAAGACCTTGTCTTGCTGTCCTCTACTTCTACTGGAAATGAAGTGTTATTTTTACTTTATTTTTATATCTAAAGATTGGTTTAGGCTTTGGCTTCTGCCCAGGTTCTTTTGACAGTAAGTGGGGATCAACATTAAAATCCAATCTTGTTCTCCACGCAGTGTCTCAATGTTCACACAAGTGGCCTTAGGGCCTCAGCTACAGAGGAGGACAGTATGGGCCTTTAAGGGAGTTGCAAAGGAACACAGGTAACTTTCTTTTCTGGAAGATGTTTTCTTTTGTAAATGAACTTGGAAAAATCATTACTTTTACAAGGCCACCACTCCAGAAATGTTCATTTCCAGACAGCATGCCCACAAATTAGAGAAAACACCAAAATCTGCAATTAAATGTTGCCTACACCATCTAGGAGGACTTGAAAGGCAGATATATCACCCCACTTAACTCCTTTTCCTGAAAGCTGCTTAGCTAGACTCACACCATTTCCAGATCCAAGGAGCTCAACTGGGAGATGTGCTGTGGCTGTGGCAAGAAGGATACTCTTAGGCTGCAATTTGCAAAAGGCTAGTGAGTGAAGGTAGGTGGTCATCAGGTCATTATACCTGGAGCTACAAGGCTTGCTGTGGAGTCCAAGTGTGGAACCTGTCCCTACAGGATGAAACAACATTGTTCCATCCTCACAGCCTGTGTCTCCTTGCATTTGGCCTCCACCACAGAAGTCATGGTGTCCTTTGCCATCAATTCATGTAACTGCTTTCTAGAATGTTTTGTTCAGAGTCCAGTGAACATCCAGATATGTCAAATCTAAGTGTGGGGAAGGACAGCAAATACAGCAGCAAAGAAAAGGGCAGCCATGTCTGCTTGGTAGCACCTTACGTCTCTCTTGTGCACAGTGAGTTGCCAGTCTCCTATTCCCATTAACTCCACTTCATGAGAATCAGACAGGCCACAAAACATGTTTCCTCCATCAGTTAATCTCCAATGAATATTCTGGATAAAAGTCTCTAAAAGGATAGTAAGAGTGATTAGTGACTTCAGGCTTAGGCTACAACCTTGTAACACATGACACTCAACAGTGAGTAGCCCTGGGCAATTTTATTACTTGTTCCTGAACCTCAGCTGCCTCATGAATAGCACCCATTTCATAATGGTGGTTAAATACGTTAATGCAAAAACTGTGTGTGTGTGCCTGGGCCACACTATACCCTCAACAAATGCCAGTTATCAGCTGCCATTATTTACCATGCTCATGTCACTGCAGGGATGGAAGGTTTAACAGAGAAAACAGGTTTTTGGGGCAGTGGCATAAGTGCCAGATCCCTGGTACCAATAAAAAGGAAAAAAGACAAAAAGACAAAAAAAAAAAAAAAAAAAAAATAGGTTTTAGCCCCCAGGACACAATAGCTGTCCAGTTTGTTCTTGGTCTCCACAGGTGTTCCATCCTGGACAGCTGCTAGGTAACTTTCATCTGTGAAACTCAGAAAAGCCATTTGAGCTGTTTGGATGAAACACATTAGCGTTTAATCATCCAACCTGACAGACCTGGATGCATTCTTGTCAATGTAGAAGACTCTGTTGGGGGTGGCAGAGAAGCCGAGTCCAGCGCCCCGGTTGTACTTCCAGCTCATGGCCCGGTCATAGTCCTGCTGCAACTTCTGCTGCAAGGTGTCGGCTGCTGCCTTGCTGAGGGCCATGTTGGGCCTTGTAGGCATACCAGGGGAAGAGGTGAATGAAGGGGACAGATTCTTAAAGCCACCCATAAGTTGGAGAAATTTCAGTTTCCGTTCCTTGTTTTCAAAATCTGCAGTATCCCACTGGCCAAACTGGGTTCCCTGTGTTAGGAGAAAAAAAAAAGTTACTTTCCCTGAATACAAAGCCCTTCCCTTTCCTGGACCTCAGGCCCACCAAGGGCAATTCAGTTGGTTAAAACACCAGGCAGAGTGCCACTAACACAGATTGCATTATTATATAAGCTGAGCCCTCTGAGGAGCATTGGTCATCCCTACACAATACAGCGTACCTTTCCACAACTCCCAGGCCCTCAACTGCAAGCTGCTTATCCATCACCTAAAGAGGCTCTGGAAGAATAATCAGAACCAAGGTGTCACTGCAGCTCCCCTGAGCTGGTAACACATCTTCCCCCCTGCAGTGGCCCAGATATGGCAATCAGTACAGCTTCAGTGGAGTTTCTAGAGCAAAAGTGGCCTGTACCAGATGCTGGCTCTGCCCAGTGAGCTGGTCATCCCAATGCTGCCAGCTGCTATCCAGGCTGCTGCCAGCCTAGAAACCCACACTGGCCTCAATAGGTCCCAAGGGCAGTGCCAGGTGGATGCAGCATTCCAACCCCAGGATCTCCTGCCATCAGGTCCTTCCTCTTACTCCATCAGGGTAACCTATCGGCTTCACTCAGCTCTAGAGGATGGAGGGAAAGACACACAATGAAGCTCTTGTCCATACTCCACATACAGGGCATGAGGCCCATTTCAAAGGTGTAGAAACAAGCTGAGAGGGAAAGTATTTGCCTAGAGACTCAGATTTAGCAAAAGGAAAGGCCAGTAATTCATCTCAGATCTTATGATCCAAAGCAGCACTCAGGAACTCCAAAATTGGGTAAAGTTACTCAGCTGAATGGCTCAAGAATGGGGAAAGTCGGAGCAACTCACCAGGGCCTCAGCCTGCCACCCACAGCAGCCCAGCTTCATGACTGACCCAAGAGCTGGCCTCATACCTGTCCTAATTTCTTGGGCTCTGACTGGATCTTAAGCGAGTCCTGAGATGCCTGCCACTGTTCCCACCTCCTCTCTCCTACGCCCTCCTAACAGCCCTCCAAATGCACCACCCACTGCTAGAAAGAGCTTGTTGAAATGTGTCCCCCGTGATTAATCCACAGGATGCCTCCATTCAAACACACCTGGAGTCAAGGGTCCAGGCAGCTTTTCTCACCCAGCCAGCTAACCAGGCAGGCACCCCTTTCCGAAGTAAGGAAGGTAGCTCAGTTCTGACCACTGCAGAGGCAGCAAGCCAGTGGGCTTCGGACCAGGCACATCAGAGATCCCGAACAAAACTCACCGTCCAATTCCTGGGTTCATATGCTTCTGTCTTGCCTGATTCCCGATCAATCTCCTCTTGCAAGGCCTTTCGCCTCACCTAACAAGGTGACAACAGGAGAAGAGAGGAGACGTTACTTCTGACCTTAAAATGCACAACGGATGTGCTGTGGAAGGCAGAGACCCTCTGCTAGACTCCGTGCAAGGCTTTGTCAGAATCACCCTCTCAGGGCTTTGGATCTTGGACTTGAGATGCACAGGCCTCATTTATCCACCCAAGAGGGTTTTTTCTTTCTTTTTGGTGGTGGTACTGGGATTGAACCCAGGGCCTTCACACTCAGCTACATCCCCAGCCCTTTTTAAATTTTATTTTGATGCAGTCTTGCTAGGTCACTAAATTGCCCAAACTGGGTTTGAATTTGTTTTCAGCCTCCCAGAAGACTAGGATTATACACAAGTACCACAATGCCCAGCTTGCAGTTTCTTGAGGATGAATTTGTTAAAAACAACTCATCTTCCCGAATCACTGTAACAATTTGGTTTATAGTAGCCATTATGATGGAAAGGTTCCCAAAAATGCAGTGCCACTACCCTGTGGGTTGTGGGTTTTGTTTTGGTTTGGTTTTTTTTTTTTTTTTCCAGACAACTTAGCACTGTGTAGTTTAGGATGGCTGAATGGCCTTGAACTCACCAGCCCATAGGCATGCACCACCATGCCCAGCTTGCCTTGTGGTCTTGTGCAGGACACCGTAGTTAATTTCTGTGATGAGAACATTGTTTTCTATAAAAGAAAGGCTGCAGAGCCAGGCACAGGCCAATTTGAATCCAGTGCCAATGGTACTGACATTATAACCAGCTATGTAGCCTTGGGTAAATCATTTAACCTTTCTGAACACTGGTCTGACTATCTACAACAGAATGTCAGCTATTTAAGGGGAAAGGGGAAAAGCAGAAATATCTACACAGCAGTGCCCCAAGCACACAGTAGGGAGGTCTCATTCACAGGTGATCCACTGAGCACCAACAACCTGCTCTTCCATACAAATGCTTCTGGGGCCTTTTCTCCTGCCCCAGCGCCCAGGTGTAATTTTATTTCCTGCAATGCGCCATCCGTTTTCTTCCCTTTTAATCTGCCGATGGCTCTCAAGTGATAGACCTCTTACACAATTTAAAATTACTAAACATGAGTCAAGGTGACAGCTGTAGAATGAGAGAAAATAAAGGTCCATCCCTCCAGTGAAGTCACACTATTTTTTTGTCTTTTTTTATCGGTACCAGGGATCGAACTCACGACTGCCTGCTTGCAAGGCAGGCGCTTATGCCGCTGAGCTAAACCTCCTGCCCCTGAAGTCACACTATTGATGTGCAAGGATGTTAACAGATGTGCATGTGCTTGAAGGAAAAGCAAGTGCAATTAAAATTAGTTAAAAAGAACAACCTACATAGCATACTGTTAAATTCACAGTTACAGCTGAAAAATCTGGAAGGACACGCAGGGCTACATTGACTAGCAGCACAAAGGGTAAGATTTCAGGTAATTTTCTTCACCTCCAAGTGTGTTATATTCATTTGTAAACGTAATCTTTTTAGTATTTCTAAGAAAAAGAGGGAAAAGTTGGGTCACACTGCAATTGTCTCCCAATGATCAGATACTGTCTTAGAATCTGTATTCAATAGGCACAAATAACTACAGAACGAAGAGCTCTGCACACAGCTCTTGCTGTGTCCTCAGGACCTGAGGGGAGTAGGAAAGGCCTGGGCCTGGACAAGCAGGCCATCACAGCCCTGCACATGATGCCAGCCCACTACAGCAGCTCCAGCGGCACTGGCCCAGCCTTAAGCCTGGGGGACCAAGGGGGACTGTGCTCTGCAGAGAGGCTCCAGTACTGTCTCCCCACTCACTCTCTTGGCCTCACTAGGAAGGCTCCCCTCTAAGGAGAGCTCTCAATGTCCCAAAGCAGACTGGGTTCTGCCCTACCTCTTCTGAGTCCTCAGACTCAGCTCACTTCTAAATGCTCCCTTGATTTCTCTCTCCTGGGGTGGGGGAGCCATGAGATAGGACCCCTCCATCTCACCCCACACCCTGCTGTTTTCCCCCAGGCACTAGGGCAGCTCTTTGCAGTGGCTCACCCAAGGGAGGTCAAAGTCGGAAACAGTAGCCATGTATCAAGCACGGCTGTGAGGCCAGCCCTGCCAATTCATGTTCATTATCTCACTCGGTCTCCAGTGCAATCTCACAAGACCAGTGTGCAGTCATGATTCTTCCTCCACAAGGTTGAAAGAGAAGATCAGTGTGGCCAAGGCCTGCTCAGGTCCCATGGTAAAGCATGGTTCAAGGTCAGGCCTCTGAAGCTATCCCTCAATCCTACCAGGTCTGGGACTTAGTGTCAAACAAATCCCCAGTTCCAGTAAATTTTGTTCCTACACCAAACATATCTGCAGAATATCCATGCACAGCAGAAACAGAAGCAGAAGCCGATCTAAAACAGAACATCTCCTCCAAAAGTTCTTGAATTAACCCAGGGGATGGCAACCTGTGCACCTCGCTGCAGTCATGGAGACATCCCTTCCTAGCATTCTGCAGTGGCTTACAGAAAAACACCCATCAGGTGCCCCTCAGCCACAGCCTCAACAGCTGTGGGGTCATTGGGCATGGGGTGGGAGCATGAGTTCCCTGCCCCTGGACGTGTGCCACAGATGCTGGTCATGTGGTCTTTGGGGTTGCTGGTGCCTTGCAGACCAGGATCTTGGGACCTGAGCCTCCTGGAGGTGGCTGGGGGCAATAGGAGAGCCAAACCTGGTCTATGTGTGTCTCGTCCATGTTGCCTTTCTTCTCCATCACCACTTCCAGGTCTGTGTCTGGCTCCTGAGTGAGAAGAAGGAGGAAGGTGAGGTTCCAGTATACAGTGAATGGCCTCTACCATAGCAGCCAGCAGGGCAAGGTCATGGCAAAGTCCAAAACAGACCCCAGACCACAGCACCACTCCAGCCCTGCCACCTAGCTGTCACTGACAAAGCCCTGCCTACCTTCCTCCACGTTTTTCCCTAAAACAGTAACACCACCCTTTCTGACAAAGAAACTGAGACCCAGAGAAGGAAGTGACCAAAATGAGATCACCCCACCACTCAGAGACAGGGCTGATTCTAACCAGGTCTCCTGACTCAGGTCAGAGTGTATGACCTTTTCTACTACTTATGTCATCTGATCTCCCACAGTGACACCCAAACAGTGAGAGTGGCCAAAAGCCCTACTGATAACATGGGAGGACTGACAAAGAGGCCAGGGGATGCAGCAGTGGTTTCTGGGTCTTGCCAGGAGCAGACCACCTGAATGTCTCCTTTACAGTGCCAGTCCTAAGTCCTGGTAGCCACTTCTTTTCCTAGGTCCATTAAGTACTGTGGCTTCAGTGCTTTAAAATCTCAGTGGGACCCTGTCTCTTCCTATCCTAAACCCATTAGAAGCTCCGATCTGGTTCTCAGGCCTCCGTGGGTCTATATCATGTGGCCTTGCCCACCTTCGCACTGCCATTGCTCCTGCTCACCCGGCTCTGCTGCTGGGCCTCTGCACGTGTCATTCCCTCAGTAGGGACAGTGAAAGCCTTTGCAGGCCTCAGCTCCAGGCTATTTTCACTGGGCCACCTAACCATATTCACCATAGTCCCCAGGATGTCCTAACAGTGAAATCTCAAACTGGCCACCTTCCTCTAGCTATCATTAGAGTCAACTGCTAACAATTTATGGGTCTTTACCCCAGGCGTGTACTGCCTGACACCTGGTACCATGTGATGCCTTAAGGATGCTCTCTTGCCTTACATCACCCATCTCGCTATGGAAGAAAAAGATGCTTCTCTCTGATCCATAAGCCACTCCTGGAGGCAGAGTTCGCACTGTAGGAGATGCTGAGCAAGAAAGGACTCTTTTCCTTGGGCTCCTGGGGGAGGGGTTTCTAGATTTGAATGGGCAGAGCTCAAAGCCTCTGAATTTCTCCTGGCTCTAACTTTCTAAAGACAAACAGTGGAGAAACCAAACCTAATGGTGAAGGGAAAGCAAAATCAGCAACCAGACCACCTCCTGCAGCACCAGTCAGGGCAAATTGAGTGCAGGGCACAGGGATGAGCTCCAGTGGGCTGGCACAGATCCCACCAGTTGGTATTAACCAGGTTCCTCGCCAGGCGAGGCTGGCCTCTAGCAAGTGCACAATAGCTAGGGATAGTTGTTCACAAAAAAATCCAAGCGCTAGGATGTGGCTCAGAAGTACAGCACTTGGCTAGCATGCATGAGGCCCTGGGTTCATCCCTGCTGCAAAAAGTTAAAACAAAAAAGAAATAGTGGAAAATCCAGGCTACAAAGGGTGTACAGATAGCCTTCATGTGGCCCTATTTCATCTCTGCTGTAAACAGAACCTAGGGCTGTCTCATGGAAGACAGTCATTTCCTGGGCTTTAAGGACTGGGTTCTAGGAAAGGGTCCACAGGATTCTGAGAAGGAACCTGAGTCTGGGTTTGAATCCCAACCCCTCTTCACCCCAGTTGGGTGACCTTGGATAGGGTCCTCCTTGCTCCTTTGAGTCTCAGTCTCCTTGTCTGTTAGAAGGATGACAGGAGTAGCTACCTCACCACACTGGTAGGTGGATGAAACAGGTCAACACAAGGACAGCACTTCTCACTGCCTAGGCACGCAGTAAACTCTTAGGAAATGACAGTCACTGTGATAGAACACACCACATGACAGGACATACACCATGTCCATCCACCCATACACCATGAGGTCAGAAGTGGTGGTCTAGTCCTGGCAGGGGCCCAGCAAGTAAAGGCTATAGGTCAGGAGATCACCAGCCTGGCTCTCTAGCATCCCTGTCTATGCTTCAGGAGGCCTGTCAGGAAGGACACAGCAGATCTCCATGTTGTCACCAAGCCACTGTCCACTCCTTTGCTTCTGGTAGTAAGATTCCAGTTTTCCTCTCAGGAAATGTCCCCCACCTCTTGATCACAAAGGCCAGGGTTAGCCAGACGTGATGACACACTCCTATAATCCGAGCACTCAGGAGACTGAGGCAGGAGGATCGTTGCAAGTTCAAGATCAGCCTAGGCTACAAAGTGAGCTCAACGCCAGCCTGAGCTGCACAGTGAGACTCTGTCTCAAAAAGAAAACAACAACAAGGTTATGTGGAATTGACACCCTCAACATAACTCACACCCGGCTTCCTATCAGGGTTTCCTGCTAGTGACCCAACTGGGACCTCTGACAATAGCCCTGGGACATTTCCTGTAATTATTCAGAGGGGCCAATATTCTTCCTTTGCAGGTGGTCAAACTATTAGAATGAAAGTCATGAGGCAAGGGTTGGGAAGCACAATGGAAACTAGGACTAAAACTAAGTTAAATACACAGACACACAGTCATCTCCTGTTATGTAAATGTATTTGATTCTTACATCACGTGTACTGAGCTTAGACCTTTAGCATATAGCAGGAGTTCATAAATCACAGAATTCACCTGAAAAACTGATCTAAATTATTAAGAATCTGACTGCTGAGGATCAGAATTTATGCAAAGCTTTGACAGGAGTGTAGGAGATACCTACACTAGTGTGCAAACTCGTATGACAGCCATAGCTGAAGCTAGATAACTCATACTCTTTCCAATTCTATGTGCCAACAACACTTCCCCCAGGGTTTTGGAAGATAAAAGTCTAAGTGCCTATGCATGTGCAAATGTTCATTCAGATGTACATATAACACTCCCAGTATCTGCTCCTACTCTCCAAAGGCAAGATGCATTTCTGAAGGAAAACCTACCTCCTTCCAAGGGTCTGCTGCTACCACATTCTCTTTTTTCTTCTTTTTCTTCCTTTTCTGAGCCAGCTCAACAACTGGCTGTTCTACTTTTTTCTTAGCCTTTGTTTTCTTCTTCACTGGGTCTGTAGGGTGATCTCCTATTGGGATGTACTCTAGAACCTCAACTCTGGCGGGCTTCTTCTTTTCTTTCCTAGGGCTGGTCTCCATGGACCCGGAGAGCTGGGAGTGGCTTAGTAGGGAGTCTTCCTCCTGGTGGACTTTCTTCTTCTTCTTTTTCACTCTTCCACTGTGTTCTGTGGATCTGCCCTTCTTCCGCTTCTGTCCTAAGGTCGCCTGCTCCTCGGCCTCTTTCCCCACTGTGTGTCCATACACAGCACCTTCCACCTCACACAGCAAAGAGTCCTGGATGGAGCAGGCTGCGGTATCCTGGGACTTTTTTTCTTTCTTGTGTTTTTTCAGCTTCTTGCCAACTCTGATTGCCTCCTCACCTTGTCTGGGGTCAGGGGAGGTCTTTCGCTCTGAGCTCTGTGATGTGGCCAAAGGCAAGGATTTCCTCTTCTTTTTTTTCTCTCCACTGAAGGACTCCAAGTAGTCACAGGTCTGTTTCCTGGAGCTGGGTGATTTCTCTATCTGTCTGACTTGTGATGTGAGCTCAGATTCTGGGAGCTCCCCGCAAAGGGTGCTGTGGCCTGTCTTTTTCTTTTTCTTTTTTTTCTTCACCAAGGGTGTATCAGGTGCATGCTCTTGGCTCACAGTCCTAGAGGGGGATGTGGCCCTCACAGGAGAAGTACCAGCAAAATAATTACCATCATTTATAATTGAATATTGAGTCTCTGGTTCTTTCACTACCTTTTTCTTCTTCTTCTTTTTCTCTGGGAGCCCAGGGTCCAGGTCTACTTTCTGGGTCTTGGTGATCATTTCTGAAAAAAGAAATGGTATAAATTATCACCATATCCAGCCCCCAGTGCTCAGTTCTACTAAGTTCTGCACAAAACCTAAGTAGGTGGTCTAAAATATTAGCGAATTGGAAAAAGGGCTGATTACTTTGAAGCAATGGGAAATCTGCTAGAAGTAGCAGGAAGTTTAAATTTAGAAAGCCCTAGGTTCAAAATCTAAACTGCTTAGTCACCTAATTTCCCCAAACATGTTTCTCCATCTGGAAAATGGGAGTGGGGTTGTGATTAACACCTCTTGCTTGAAGGGTTATTAGAGAGTGTAAATGAGATAATCTATGTAAAGAGTTTTTATTGTCTCTTTTTCTCTCCTCCTCAAAGCTCTATACACAGTCATTCATTCAACAGGCATTTATCAAGAGCCTATCCTGGGTACGCAACTGAGGATACTGGGAGCAAGCCAGATAAACCAACTGCTATCCTTGATTTTTTACTGAATACAGCAAACAAAAATTCCGAGGTCAATCCTTGCCAATTCCCACCAGAAGGATCAACAGCAGCCCAATTAACCCCCTATTCTGGCTCATCTGAACACTCTTTTGAGTTTAGAAATGAGTATTCCACCTTTATGCCAAGTAACTTTTACAACTTCCTAGCTGTCTTCCCATAAGGTACAGCAAAAGAAGCATCAGTTAGGATTCTAAATAATTTGGTGAAATGGTGGCTCAAACATACTCCTACCCTTGGCTCTTCTGGGCCGCAGTGTCCCCCTTCATAAGGGGACTAAACAAAAGTTGCTCATGTCAGGTGCAACATCCAGACTGCAAGCCTGTTGCATTGTTTTTTTACATTTCAAACTGATTGCTAACATCTAATGATTGGTAATGATAACTGAAAATGCCTTGCACTGCTTGGATAAATAGGAGCACCTGTGAAAAGGGGTTGCCATGATCAATTCACTTCAGCTTCTATCCAGGCTACTTTGCTAACTCCAGCTAACAGCTCAGTTTCTGCCACTCCTGCACCAGAGTCAGATGTCATGGAGACATTCAGGAAATCTAAAAAAAAAGTACCTTCCTCCTTGGAAGTTTAGATGATGGGAAGGAAAGACCAGGAGATTCTCTATCCTGAGCTCAGAGCCTAGAGGATTCACACTGGTCTTGGCTCCTGTTAGCGGTTTCAAAGAGCCAGGCCTGAGGTATAACTCAAATTCATTCATAATCCCTTCCAGAAGCACCTGGGGAGTCAAGGAATATGTAACTTTTTCATTTATTTCTGCTCACTCTGTTTTCTGATGTATTTAGTGTCTGGGACACAGCAGTAACTGAATACTCACTGAATGAATGCTGCAAGACCTACAGAGATGACAAGATTCATAAACTAGCCATCAAAAACTTGGGAGATTTGAGAGAACATAGCATAATATCAAAGATGCAGATGTAAGAGCAAGAACTCTGAGAAGGTGATAGAAGTCATATAACCTGCCCTACCAGTTACCAATATTTTCTGAAAAAACATGTTTTCAGCTTGTGCAATCCAAGTGAAGAGACAGTCTTGGGCAGATGACTTAAAATATCCAGACAGGTGGATAGATGTGTCTGAGGCACAGGAGTGACTGTGTAGACACAGGTGACCTGAACAGTACTATATGGATGGAAATCAAGCCTGTAACAAAACTCAAGACAAGACCCCGCGAAATACTGACATGTAAACAGAAGGGCTTGCAGAAAATGAAGGTGCAGACCTGGAGAGGATGGAGTCAAGAAAGCCCAGCGCGTTTGAAGAAGCAGGGAATGAATGGTTAAGAGAGCTGATAAAAATAAAGCCACGTGAGGTCTGAGGTCTGCTTAATCCGCTTCTGTCCCCATCTCTGGCATTCAGAACCCTGTAGCATCCTCCTCTTCAGCCCCTGCGACCCAAAACGTATTCACTCTTTCAATGAGCCAGGAAGACGCAATGAGCCTTACGACGCAACTCCTGCATACAAAAATGCTTCTTCTAAAAGCGCCTTTAAACTTCCGCGGAAACCTTGTGAGGGCTGGTTTTGACTACTCCGCATCACAGGCTTTGGAGACCTTAATTCACTAGTCCTAGGTCTCGGAACCAGCAAGCGGCAAAATACTGATTCTAACCCAGCCCGGGCACCAATCGCCTCCCACCGCACCCACAAGTAAGACTTAAGGGGGTCAGGTGGTTGGAGCGGCCGCGCCGAGGCTTCCGTATTAACATACAGCGAGGGATTCCGTAGGGTCCCCGGCCGCGTTTCAAGCGAGAGAACTTCGTGGAAGTGGCGGCCTCAGGCCGGGGTGGGTTGTGGAGTACAGGACGTTACTTTCCCCTTCTTGGCCACCTCGCAAACCCCAGGCTCAATCCGCGAACCCCGCGCGCCCCCCTGAACAGCTTGTTCGGCGCTCACCTGCAGGAAGAAAAGCCCCGCCTCCACGTGAGAGCCCGCTCCGCCGTGACCCGGAAGTCAATTTCAGGTCGCTGGGCCGCCCCTGCGAGTTCCGGCTCCTTCCGGGTCGCCGCCTGGAGATGAACGCGGTTTCCTCGGTAACCAAAAGCATGGCGGCAACGCCGCAGTTGTCTAGTCGGGCACCCCAGCGTGAGGATTGCACAGGCTCTGCGGACTCGGTCACCACCCCGAACTCCGTGCCCACTGTGTCTCCTGTGTCTCCTGAGCCTGTGTCTCCTGGGCAGGTCGCTGAGCCACCAGGCAAAAATCTGTGGGAGCAGATCTGTGAGGGTAGGCAGCCCGGACTGGCCTAGAGGGGCGGGTCCCGAGCGGCCCGGGAAGGGCCTCGTGGTCTGAGCGCCCATTGTGAGCTTGGTGGCGGACGTGGAGACCCTTGGGCAGCAGCGCGCAGCCTTGCCGCCTCATTGTACGCACAAGGAAACTGCTTCCAGTGAGGTGCAGGGGATCTGAACATCCAAGCGGTTCTAATATGTGGCGCGCATGCTTTGAGTACCTTGTAGCAAACGGATTTTATTCCCTTCTTGCTGCAAGTTTAGTTTTTTTATTTATTTATTTTTATTGTGGTGTACTGGAACTTGAATCGAGGACCTGTTTCTACCTGATACACTGATACTGTTTTTGGATATTTGAGGTTGTCCTTGAACTTCCAATGATCCTCCTGCCTCAATCTACCCACGGCTGGGATTACAGGCATGCATCATCACCCCTAGTTTGCACTGATATTTTGAGACAAGGACAGGCTGAATTCTGTAGACTGGGCTCTAAGGTCTGATCTTTATGTCTCTTCCATAGTGCTGGGATTACACGTGTGTGTCACCATCATCAGGCTGTGTCAGAAACTTACTCCTCACCTACAAACAGTTTCACTTACGCTTTTATGGCCCTACAATCCTTTTGAATTACGTTGGACAAGTTATTTAACTTACTGTCTTATCTATAAAGCGGACATAATAACAGCCCTTGTTTTGTGGTGGTAGAAGGATGGAACCAGATAGTCACAGAAGGTGCTTAACAAATCTTTTCATTTACAACAACAGCTGAGTACCTGTTTTTAGTGAACAGCGTTGGGTGTTTTGTTTTCCTTCACTGGGCTGTAAGCTCCTTCAAGGTTAAGGACTCAGACGCTTGTGGCCACCATTACTGTCTTCTTTTGGTTAGTGTTGCTATGTTCAGCCTAGCCTTGAACTCAAGGTGCTTTTTTGCCTCAGCTTCTTGGGTAATGAGATTACAGGTGTTCATCACCACACCCAGTTCCACCATCACTATTTTGAGTGTCTGAAACAACACAGTTTCTTAATCTGTGCCATCAAATATACTAGTCATGTGGGGCTGTTGAGCGTTTGAGATGTACTTAGCTGGGGCCTGGGGATTTAGCTCAGCGGCATAAGCGTCTGCCTTGCAAGCAGGCAGTCGTGAGTTCGATCCCCGGTACCAATAAAAAGGGAAAAAGACCAAAAAAAAAAAAAAAAAAAAAAAGAGAGAGAGAGATGTACTTAGCCTACTTGAGGAACTGAATTGCTTACTTAATTTTAGTAGCCACAAGTGGTTATTAGACTATGCAAGTCTAAATGTTTATTGAATGGGAACAAGAACAAATGCACTGATATGTGAAGGAGGAGGAGAAAGATGAGTTGAAAGAAATAGAGAATACAGAGGAAAAGAATAGTGGCCATTTTAGGGGACCTGTTTCTGCCTTTATCCAGTGCTTCCCCACTTACTAATCCGATTATTTAAATACAGAGTGACCAAAAATTGCATACTTTTTTCATTAATTTGTGTAAGATAATACAACAGGAAATATAAAAACTACAGCTTTATGAAATTTGTTCAATACAAGAATCAACTGGTTGAAATGCTCAGGATGGTATGTAAACAAATTGCTCAAGTGATACTCAGGGTAAACTGTTAAGTGGTTAAAGTTCTACATTACATTGCACTGGAAAAGAAAATCTTTCTTACCCTTTGCTGCTATGACCCAAGGAACTAACCCAGTCACTCTACCATAAAAATCCACTCAACTGTTTGAAGGTAGACATTGTGGCTTTTTCCCAATGTGTTCACTTCTCCAAGTAAAACAGTTCTATATAATAACAACTTAGTAAAAGGGTATTGTGGAGGGAGTTGCTCATCTCATTTATAGAAGAATCACTGTACCTACCTCACAGAGTGGTTTTAGTCAGTTTATTTGGTACATCAGGCCTGTAGGAAGAAAGCAAAAATGGAGGATGTGGAGGCTATTTGAGAATCAAGTGAATTGATGCCATTTATAAAGTAGTGGAGTTTAAAAATTGAAATTAATGAGATCAAAGATGGTGAATTATATACATAGACACTGTCATGATTATTTTAACCTAACTGATTAAATCCAATTCTTAAACATCTAACAAATGCACTTTCTGTAACACTGAATAAATTTAGTTTCTTACAAGAAATATGAAAATAAGCTTTTGTGGTAATACTATCTTTAGGTTAAGCATTACATTTTATTAGGATGTCTCTTATTTAAAAAGTAAATAACTAGATGGCACAGGCCTACCAGGAACCCAATTTCAGTGAAGACAAAATACAATATAGGTAAACAGGTAATTTAAGACTTTTATGCTCCCTGGTTCATGCTCTTTCTTGTGGTGTGTGTGCATGCCTGCCTCTTTGATAACTTATTTATGTGTTTCACTTTTTGCCTCTCTTCTTCTAGTGATGACTGTGGACTTTGTATTTTCAAAAGCACTTGTAGTAGTTCCAATAAACTTTTTTTCCAAGGCTTCTAACCAAATCTTAGCTTGGCTTGTGACTTATGATGTTTAACTATGGTTTTAATCAAGACCTCATGTAAATATTTGGAGCTTACAGTTTTCTGTTTTCTATTGCTGTGATTACCCTTAGCAATATCTTCCTTACTGTCCTTGATTCATCACTTAATCAGATACTCTGCAGCTCAGAAGCCCTCATACTATGATAAAATCTGATCCCTTGTCCCGCCTGCCAAATACCAACATGGATCAGTTCTGAATCAATGTTTGTTCTTCAGCACAGCAGCTGAGCAAACCAGAGAAAGACATCAGCTAATTCTCAGCACTGCTCACATCCATTGACATCTATCAGTACTTTGCCCATGCCCCTACACCAGTCCCAAGGTATCAGTTCTTTCTCAGATGTGCTGTGAAAACACTTGGTATGGAAGCCATTCACTGAGAAGAATCAGGCATTTAGTAATTTCTTTGTGCCAACATAAATATTTGTGTCTGTATATGTGGAGGAAGTATTCACCCCACTATTCACCTCTTAGCCCCCCCCCCCCATCTAGGCTTTGGTATTGCACTAGTCAGCTTTCTGTTGCTGTAACAAAATACCTGGCGACGAAGAGACAACGAACTTAGAGAAAGAAAGATTTTATCTCATTGTTTGAAAGGCTCAGACCACATTCCCTGGCCCCATTGCTTTTGTCCTTTGTCAAGGCAGAAACATGCCAGAAGAGGGATCAGAAGAAAGCTGCTCACCTCTTGGGAGCTGGGAAGCAGAGAGGGAAAGCAATGTACCCATCACAGGCACACCCCCAGGGATCTGCTTCCTCCTACCGCGCCCCATCTTCTCAGAGCCCATTCAGCTGTTAAGTCGTCTTCCCCTCAGCCAAGTATCCAGAAAAAACACACTGCTCTTGTTCACACCACTTCCGTTTCCGTTCCCTTGTCAGCTCAAAGTAGACTAGTTTCTACTTCATTTCTTAAAGAAGTTTCTCTCATGCTTTCAAACATGTATTTGCCAGGGCTGGGAACTGTTTTCAGTGGAGGATCAGGCATGACCCAGACACCAACAAATTCATGATTCCAGGCAATTCTAGACACAACAAATTACATTGCAGTGAATATTACCATCATTCACTCAACTGTCTAGTTCAGAAACTGGGGATTCATCTTACATATTTCTCTTTTACTTTGCATGATTATGTTTATTTGCCCATTTCTGTGGATTCTACTTACAGAGTGTTGTACAAAATGAGCTACTGTTCCTACTTGTTCTTTAAGTTCATTTAACAATCATATAAGATTGTTTCTCTAATCCCATTTATAAGTTTCAGTAATTGAAAGATTATAAAGTTATAAATTTAGCATACCTAACTTCCTTAACCACTTACAATGCAGAACAAATCAGACGAGCAAATTTCTCTGACCATCAGAGCAACTCTTAGAAATTAAATGAATCAGCTGAGTGTTTGGCCCAAGGCCTATAAATACCAGCCCTCTGGGAGGCTGAAGTGGGAGGACTGCAACTTCAATCTTAGCCTGGGAAATTTGGTAACTTAGCAAAACTCTGCCTTAAGATTTTTTAAAAAATTAAAGGCTGGGTTGTAGCTCATGTAACTCTGTGTGAAGGCCCCAGTACTGAAATAAAAAAGGCAAACTGGTAAATGATTTTAAAGAGTTCATTGCTATGTACAGACAATTAAATTCACTTGTACCTTTTAGTATACTAGCAAGTTTGTAATTAATTATATTAAAATTGAAATCATAAGGTGAAACTGACATTTTCAAACATGCTATATTTTCTTAAACATTTCAAAATCTTCAAATAAACATCTGATTGCACTGCAGCTACTGTATTTTCCTATACTTCATAATAATTTCAACTGTGTATCTTTGGTGGTCACATGATGTAGAAATTTGTCTTTTCTATCAAATTTAACAGAACTAAGAAATTTCACTGAAAAAGTGCAAATAGCAAAGAAATGTAAAGAAAAGGTTCATTTCAAACATGTGAGATTGAATATACCTTAGAGAAAGAGGCGGTTTCACTGTTAGGAATAGAAGTTGATGTAAACTTTCTGTAGGAAAGTTTGGCCATTTGCCCAAATGGTAACTTTTTTCTTTATCAGAATAATTATAAGAATTAATCCTACAAAGATACTTCCATTCAGATCAATGATATATTTATAAAGCTGCTCATTGCAGTACTGCTTGCAATAATGAATTGGAAATAACCCAAATGCCCACCAGCAGGATACTTGTTAAATAAATGTAGTGTATCATATATATAGTAGTACTGAAAGGCCCAATATTCAGCTCCTAGGTTAGTTTCTGGCTTGTAATGGGCTCTCAGTAGATAAGAATGAGTGAATCTAATGGTTTCTTGCTGAACTGTGTCTTATGTGTCTATTAGCCACTCCATATTCATCCAACAAGTATTTGGAGACACAGCTGCACAAACAAACCCAGGTACTTTCCTCACCAAACCTACAATCTATTAGTGAAGATAGCTTTAGTTTTTACACAATTTAGATAAGGGGGAAATAGATGGAATTATGAAGAGAAAGAGAATTCAAAAGTTCTATGCTTGAACAATTTGACATATATATATATTTGTCTTTTTGAGACAGGGTCTCACTATGCAGTTCAGACTGGCCTTGAGCTCACTTTGTAGCCGAGGCTTGTCTCGAACTCTCAACGATCCTCCTGCCTCAGCCTCCCAAGTGCTGGTATTACAGGCATGAGCCACCACGCCTGGCTATTGTATATGTTTTAAACTCAAACACTTTTCATGTTATCTCAAGTGGTTCTCAAGGCCATGGAGGAAGAATGGGGAATTCACCTGCTTGCCCAAATGGGAAAAATGGTAGCAGAGCTGCAGCTGGTGTGGTATGGCAGGCAAAATTCTAGCATGCCCCTAGATTTTCATCTTCCAGTGCATATATCCCTTTGTTACTCTGTCAAACATCATCTACCCAGGTATGCTTTGAAAATATTCTCCAGATGTATTTAAAGTCCTTAATCAGTGGGCTTTGAATTAGGAAGGTTATTGTGGGTGAGCCTGAACTAATCAGGCAAGCCCTTGGAAGAAGTTAGAAGTCAGGAGTTCAACCTACGAGACTCGTTGGGCTTGTACCAATAGCCATTTTGCACTGCCTTTGGCAAGGACTCCAAGAGGTCCTTTAGAAACTGAGTAGCCTTTAGCTGACAGCTGACAAGAACCAGGGACTTCAAACCTGCAACCTGAGAAACTGAATTTTACTAACTAGTGAGCTCAGGAAAGGACCCTGATTCTCCGATAAAATCACAGGCATGGCTGGTGCCTTCCTTCAAGCCAAATGGGACCTGAATCCATTCCCAAATGACACTGTGTATGTGCATGCGTGCCTGGGGAGGGGAGTATCCCTGTGGACTGAACCCAAGACTTCTTCCCTAGAACCCAACTACTTCCCTAAAACTTTTCAGTTTTTAAAAAATTTTGAGTCAGGATCTCACTAAGTTGCCAAGTGTTATGGTTTAGTTCTAAATATCCCTTGAAGCCTCATGTGCTCAGACATCGGACCTTAGGAAGATGAGTGGGTTATGAGAGTGGTAGAGCTGACTTGCTGTTAGGAAGTGGGTCTGGTAGGAAAAAGCAGTCACTGGGGGTGTGACCTAGGAGATTATCTCTTTTTTGGACTTCTCCATTCTCTCTCTCTCTCTCCTTCCCTCCTCCTCCTCCTTCTCTTCTTCCTTTCTCTCTCTCTCTCGCTGTCTCTCTCTCCCCTTCCCCATTGCCATACCATGATCAGCTCTCCTCTGCTATGTCCCTCTGTCATATTCTCCTGCCTTGGAGCCAACCAACTGAAACAAGAGCCAAAATAAAACTCTTCCTTTTAAGTTGTGGTTGTCCAATATTGTCTCAGCAACAAGAAAGTGACTAACACATCCAGGCTAACCTCAAATTTGTGGTCCTCCTGCCTGAACCTTCTGAGTAGCTGAGATTACAGATGTGTGCTAATATACCCAGCTCTATCCCAAGACTTTTAGCTCAAGGGAACCATAATGAAATTTGTATTGCTTTAAATCCCTAAATTTGTAGTACAGTAGTACTCCTCTGAGATTTTACTTCTTGTTATTTTAGTGTGCAATCAACTGTGGTCTGAAAATGTTCTTATAAGGAATTTTTTTTTCAAACAGAATTCGTAATTGTAAATAACTTACAAGATTATCATAATTATTTTTTGAGATAGGGTCTTGCTAAATTGCTCACTTACTAAGTTGCCACTGTGCCTGACTTGTTCTGTTTTATTATTAGTTATTGTTTGATCTCTTATTGTGTCTAATTTATGTTAAACTATCATAAGTATATATGAATAGAAAAAACATACCTCTGTAATATTCAGCATAATCTGTGACTTTAAGCATCTGACAGACATCTCAGGACATACCTTGAGGGGGAGGAAGGATAAAGGATATGTTTACTTTATCTCACTGTAACAATTTCCTGAGATAATCAACTTACCAAGACAAAGCGTTTATTTCGGCTTGCAATTTTTAACATTTCAGTACATGGTTGACTGGTCCTGTTACTTACAGGCCTGTTGGTGTGGCAGCACATTAGAGGGACTTTACGACAGAGCAAAACCATTATTCTCATGGCCAGGCAGCAAAGGAGAAGGAAGAGGCTGGAGCCTCACTCTTCCTCTCCCTGTCAAAGGCACATCCCCAGCGACAGGAAGGCCTCCCATCAGCCCCGCCTCGTAGATTCCACCACCTCCCAATGTGCCATGTGTTAAGCACATGGGCCTTTGAGAGACATTCTAGATCCAAGCTACAGCAACTGCTATAACTTGCCATACAGAATTAGCTGTTGTAAGGAAGCAAAAACTTAAGAGTTCAAAAAAAAGGTTGAGTAATCTAGTACTAATAAAACTGATATACAGTACATTGCATTCCATCAGTGCCATCTTACTTAGGAACTTTATTTTTCTTCATCATTGCAGCGTGAATGTGCAGTTGCCTTTAAAACACTAGACTTTCCAGAATTCTGTTTGCTAGTCTTTCCTTTAAGGATGGACCTATGTCTACCCCAAGCACATTTTCTGTCCCCCTCTCAGCAGTAGGGCAGCACTCAGGGTGAAATGTTCTCTGTTAGTCTCTGTAGTAGTAGTTAGTAGTAGTCAGTGCTACTGTCCTCTTCTCTTAACCACCCTCCCTATCATATCCTTCCCCTTATTTCTTGTAGATATGTTTGAGCAAAATCTAAGTCATAGGTTCTTTGGAAAAGTCTCAGACTCTTATATAAAGCCTGGCTGTTTCATGTGAGAGACCATCTCATCTCATCTATTTTAAACAAAGTGGCTTATCCATATTAAGTATTCACCTGCAACAGCCCATTGTTTTTCGTTTCTGTAAAGTACCAGCTGAAATAAAATTATGATTGTCTTTCTTAGTGAAAAGGACATAACATCACAAACTGCAATGAAATATAAAATTGAAGACTTTCTCCCTTTTCTTTAGAGTATGAAGCGGAGCTGCCTTCCTTTCCAGAAGGATATATAATCAAACATGAAAATCCAGTTATTGTGAGTAATTCCCAAGTCTCAGCCTACTAAGAGACTCTCAGATGAGAATAGTGTGGGTGGCTGAGGAAGGTTGGGTGACGTCAGGAGTTAGGCAAGATGGGGGAGACATTGGAGTTAGCACTAGAAATATGGGGCCACCCTAAACCCACCGTTAATTGTGTGTAAATTTTAGTTTCTGCATCTACTGAATAGGGAAAGTGTAACCCATGGGGCTTAGAAGAGCTCATGGGTGAGAGAGGCCTTTATAATGGATCTAACATGATATCTATATTGAGGACATTTGTGAACAGAGAAGGCTTCTCTGTGTGCCAGGGCAGACCAGGTGAAGACAGAAGGTCAGGAACAAGCCAACCAGAAAGGGAGACCCTTGGAAGTATGCCTTGGGATTAATAGGCAATAATGAAGTTTAAACTTCCAAAAACATAGCCAGGCCTGGTAGTATATGCCTGTAATCCCTGAACTTTGGGAGGCTGAAGCAGGATGATCAGAAGTTCATCCCAGTCCAGACTATTTAGCTGTATCTCAAAATAAGAAATAAAAAGTGGGCTGTGGATGTATTCAGTATAAAGGACCTGTGTTCAGTCCACAGAACTGAAAACAAAAATGCTGAAACCTGAGCAGGGTCATATTGATGGACCCCAAATCTATATCTCTCTACTGCCACCAGCTTCTCTCTGCCACTAATGTCAGTCTCTGCCTCTGACAGATATTCTGTGTCTAAAGCTCTTTTTTGGTTTATAATTGTTCCTTTTTCATAGTATCCTGTTTCTTTTTTATTAACAATGGCAAAGTTTTATTAAGGGTAGAAAAAGAAACAGGCTCTACAGAGGAAATTCGGGCCAGTAAAAGTAGGAAGGAATACACCCCCTAGTATGAGGGTGACCACCATGTAAGAGAGGACACAGTATCCTTTTTTTTGGTGTATGAGTACAATTCTGTCTCGGATTTTTCTGTAGATACTAATTACATTTCTCTCCCCTGAATTATTTGTCCTTATTCCAGAGTCATTTGCTCTGTTTTGATCTTAATCCTTGTCTTTTATACTATTGATTTTCTTGACTTGTGCAAAAGAGTTTTTGTTGTTGTTGTTGTTGCCATTGTTGCTTTGTTTTGGTCCTGAGAATTGAATTCATGACCTCATGCTTGCCAGACTGGTACTGTGCCACTGAGCTCTGTCCTTGGCCCTTGTGCACCAGGATTTTACTATTTATTTAAAATTTAAAATGAGGGCCTCAGTGGATTTTTCTGTATAGCTAGTATCTGAGGCTTTTCCAGAAAGACAGAACCAGTAGGTGTTAAATACAGAGATGGATAGATAGATGACAGGGTCCCTATTAGGGGAATTGATTCACAGGGGATTATGAAGGCTGAGAAGTTCCATGGTAGGCAATCTGTAAGCTTAAAAAAACCCAGGACAGCCAGTAGTATAGCTTAGTCTAAATCCAGAGGCCTCAGAAACAAGGATGCTGATGGTATGAATCTCAGACCAAGGCCAAAGATCTTTTTGGCCTTGCACTTGAACTGATGCAAGTCCTAAAGTCCAAAAGCTATAGAACATGGAATTCTGATGTCTTGGGCAGATTGAAAAGGGCATCTTGTCTCCAGAAGAGAGAATTTTGCTTCCACCTGCTTCTGAATTCCATTGGTTCCAACTGAGTGATGCCTGTCCATGTTGGGGGCAGATCTTTGCCCCTCAGTCTACCAACTCACTGGCTGATCTTCAGAAACATCCTTATGGATAAACCTAGAAATGCTGACTTTTTGTTTTGAGACAAGATCTTGCTTCATAGTCCAGGCTGCCTGAAACTCAAAATGCTACTCCTGCTTTGGCTTCCCAAACTCTAGGATTACAGGTCTGTGCCACAATACCCTGCTAGAAATGCAGTTTTACCAGCTATCTCTGCATGCATTAATCCAGAGAAATTAACCTTCAAAACTATCCAACACAGCTGGTGTGCTTTTCTTCTACCACTTTACATGTAGGTTTTCTGGATAATTATTTTTTACAAATAAAAAAACCCTGAGCAGTTGGTTATGGGAAGTCCCCTGGACTTAGCTTATGCTAGTCTCCTGGAAGGTTTTCTTCATGGTGAGCTGTTAGTCATTATTTGGGGCTTAGTTACTTTTCTCATTGCTAAAATACCAACACCTAAAGTTAAAGGGGGAAACGTTTATTTCAGCTCACAGTTAGTAGAGGTTTCAGTCCATAATTGGCTGGGTCCTCGGCAAGGTGGCATGGCAGAGGGCCATCACAGAGGAGAGACAGTTTGTGGCAGGCCGAAGAAAACAAAAACAAGCCTCTTTGTGTCTGTTATGTGGTATCCAGGCTATCCACCCTTAGGGTACTCACACCCTTAATCCTAGCACCCATAATCCAAACTTTGCAGCATGAATCAGTTCCAATATCACATACTCTAGATCCAGCCACTTCTGAAAAACCACCTATGATTATATAACGCTTTGGGGGAACATCTAGATACAAACCATATCAGGGGCTGAGCAGGAGGCCTCCAAATCAATATTTAGTGTCTTGGATTTTGTTTTGTTTGGGCCACCAGCATGGTACCCTACACAGTTCTGCTTCCTCTCAGGCTGTTTGTTTCGTTTGTTGACAAAAGTGTGATTGGAGAGGAGGAGAGCTGGATGTAAAACAGGCTGGTGTGAAGGTAGCTTTGTCAGTACCGAGAGGCACAGGAATGTGGGCTACAGGCCAGCGGAGTCCAGCCAGATTTTCTCGCAACCCTGCTGTGTGTCGTTCCCTTTCTCTCTGGCCCTCTGTGATGCCTGGCAACTCTAAGCCCTGAGCCTCTTTGGAATTCTGGTGGGAAAATACACTTGTGTCCTCACAAGCCATTTCTTCCGGTGGCTACCACTTGCCTTCCCACTTACCAATACAGGCTTCATCCCAGCTTCTTTTGGATTTATTGTCCAATCTCTCATCCACAGATGGCTCTCCTGCTTTTTCTACTAGGGTTTTATTCCTTGACTGTCATTTATAGGTATCTCAGGAGGCAAAAGAGACAAAGATGTTTGTTCTGTGTGCCTCTTGAACCTAAAATCTAACATGGAATTTTATTCCTTTGTAAGGTTATAAAAGAAAATAATTATTTAAACTGTTGCTATGAATTGACTCCCTTCCCTGTCCACTGCCAGGTTTCATTATTGGAGGAACTGATTTCCCACGACTTCAACACAGAGCAATATTTCCCAGCTTCCCAATTCATCACCGCCTCGAACATACCCTGTCCTCAAAATAAATCGGAAACAGTCGATCCAAAAACATGTAAGTAAGGAAGTGGGGCTTCATCTTTTATAGTTTTGGGTTTGTAACATTGCAAAACCACAGAGGGGGTGGTCACACAGGCTTCAGGGAGATCACAAAAATAAGACTATATTCTTCTTTTAAGTTTTTTAACCTTTTAATTACTTCATGTATCTAACTGTATTCACCAGATTTTCAATAGTGTGTGTTTTTATTTTTCAGAAAAGTATCCTCAATGCCACTGATTTATCTTTAAATTTAAAAGGTAATAGAAATAGTGAAAACAAGCAGACTGGGATTCTATATTAAATACAAAGGAGGGCAGGAAAGATAAAAGCAAATGCAAAAAGTAGAAGAAAAGGGGATGCTGCCCTCCCTTGAGGCAGATCCTGCCCCCAGCCCTGATTTCTCTGGCTTTTCTAGTGGCTGGCCCTCTGCTCCCAGTTTGTTTTGTGCGTTTTACTGATGTGCTTTGGACCTTGGAAACCACTGCTACCACTGCTGTGGTCCTACGGTGTGTCCAGGATACTCCCACCCCAATTCCTCTCTAGTCTCCATTCCTACCATGCTTTCCTGGTGTAAGTCTCTCTGTACCTCTGGCATCCTTACTGTTACTGTCTCAGGACTGTAACAAGCCAGTGTTACAGCTGGCCCTATGGACCTGGCCTATTCTCACCAGACCATAGAGGAACATTTTATTTCTTTATTAATACAGACCAGTTCAGGGATTTGGAACAAAATGTCACATTTGAGGTCATGTTATTGAAAGGTCTGGATCTTTTTTGGTCCAGCAACAAATGTCCCTCCCGGATGAACTTGGGAAGCTTGAGATCTACCATGGGATTTCGTTTTAGGTTCTCCTAGAGAATATTTGGAAACATTCATCTTCCCAGTTCTACTTCCTGGAATGGCCAGCCTACTTCACCAGGCAAAACAAGAAAAGTGTTTTGAGGTTGGTTGTTTGGCGGGGTCCTTTATTTTTAAATTCTCAATTCTTCATTTTAATCAGATGGTAGCTTATTATCTCAGTACTATCAAGTTGTTACTCTCAAAATGACCTCTTTGGAACGGAAAGCCTGTGTTTTGGGTCACTTTCCCAAGCCCAACAGTGACATGCAGTTATGCACATACACACACCATTATCTGTCTGGTCTCCCAGGCTCTGGAGAGGCTTTCCATCCTGTTTGGAGTCCCTGCCTGCCCTTCTTACGTATAATTTGGCATCTTCTGGGTTTTTTGTGCCTTGTATTCCTGCTTATTTCACACAGTGATTCAAGCTAAACTTCCTTCTTACTTGGCTCCCTGCTGGCTTCTGCCTGCTGCCATTCATACCTGCTGTCCTGAAGGCCACCTGAATGGGAGAGGCGTGGTATGCACTGGGTGCTCGGTGACTACTGGTCATTACCACACAACAGCCAGTTATCTGTCCCAGCTGTCTTCTGAGCCTGCCGTCCTTACATGTAGCTACCCTTACATGCTCCCTCTCTTTAGCAGTTCACAAGATACTTTGGGTACATGTGTTCCCTGCAGTTTTGCTTCCTAGAATTTTGGTTTATACCCCCCACACACACATACATGTACACACACACACACACACACACACAGAGTAAAATAACATTTACAGTTGACCCAAAAGTTATCCTGTATCGGGCATCTGTTCACGTCCATTATTGCAGTTCACACACATAAGAGCCTTGCAAAGTGCCTTTTATTACCATTATCTGTATTCTGCAGATGAGAAAACGGAAGTATAGAGAGGTCTCACATGTGATCAAGGATAAATGGCAGGGCTAGGATTCACATCCAGATTAAGTGAGTCAAAATAACACTTAAGTTGGCAGCAGGGCTGGGGATGTAGCTCACTGGCAGAGCGCTTGCCTAGCATGCACAAGGCCCTGGGTCCCATCCCCAGCACTGAAAGATAAAAAAGAAAAGAAAAAAAACTGGCAGTAATTGTGATGGAAATCCAATTGATACCAACATCCTGGATTCATAAAAAATTAACAGATATTGGAATCACCTACCTAGTTGCTCTTTACGCCAGGAAATACATCCTGTCCCAATGGTACTTTTATATACTGAGAAGGCAATTTTAATGTGTTCAAGTAAATACCCAGTTTTTCTTAACCAGTGCCTTGATGTATGACCCCTCTCATCTCTTCATCACCCTGTATTTTAATTCCCCCTAATTCTTGTCACCTGAGACACTCAGAATGACATTCCGTTTCATAAGGGCTCACTATATAAGTTGTGTCTTCAGTGAGGCAGTAATGAATTATTAGACCCTGGTCAGAATTTGGATAGCACAGGATGTTAGCTTTTTGTCAATATAATAGTTGAGATAATAAACTTATAAAGAGAAAAAGTTTATTTGTTGTCGATGTCCGCTCCCGGCCGGCAGGAAGGACACACGACAAAGTCTGGTAGTGGACAACCTTTTCTTTTTATTTTCCTTCTCCGTACAGCCTGCCCTGGGATCGCTCCCAGCCGAAGCCTCCTCTGGTCCGCTCCCCGCGGCTCCTTTTGTGCTTCAGTCTGCCCCAAAGCCTCTACCGGTCCGCTCTCCGCGGCTCCTTCTGGGCTTCTACTTCCGGGCTTCTACCTGGCTTCTTCTTCCGCCCAGGGGTGGCACCGGTATATATACGGGTACAGTGTCCAATCATGTTAAAGTAAGCAAGGCAAGCTGATTGGCTAACATCATCAGTTGCCAGGCAGACTATATTGTTGAGCGGGTTGTTTACGCGGTAAGCAGGAAACTAACATATTCGATGGGAGGGGTAATCTACCTCAGGCTTTGCTCTTTACCACAGGCCGCACGTCCGCCGCGCAAGGCGAGCTATCACAGACGCGGCTCCCAACATCTCCCCCTATTTTATTTTTTATGAATGTGCGCATCGTAGCCCTTCCTGGACTGGGTGCAGAGGCTTATGCCCTATGTGTAGGTCCACCGTAGGTCCTTGGCTTAGACCCTGGTTGGCCATGCCATGGTCTGCCAAGGCCCTGAGGCCCTCGTCCTTTTTCTAGGGCCAGGCACAAACTGGACGGAACCTGGATGCACACAAGCTTGCACTCATTTCCTCTCCGTAAAGAAATCCCCTCGGAGAGAAATTTAGACCTGGGCAGCATCTAACAGTCCAGCGGCTTACGTGCAGGATGGGGTAGGGCCTGGCTTAGGTCGAGTCGTGCTGGGGAGGCACGCTCTTACCCGTCATTGACTCACCTACCCTGCTGTGTATTGTCACCTTATGGAGGAGAATGAGGGATGCCCGCCATATCTAGACTCGGTCGTGGGCCAATTGAGCAAGCCATGCATATGCCTGAGGATCTTCTTGTCCATTTCGGGCTACCGCTATTTCTATTCATCTTATTGGTTGGTCTGTGATGGATCTCCAGTAGGGCAGGTCTGATCTTCAGTCGAGGGCTTTGTTGCCTGTGTCAGTCTCTCCGGTATCCACAGTGGTTCTCGTCCCGGTTCCTGTGGGAAAACACAAACCGCGCCTCGGTTCCAGCTGACCACTGGATCCGGGCCCATCCATTGTCCTGTCAGGACATCTTTCCACTTCACCCACCCTTTATGGTTGGGGGAAGGGTTGCAGTGCTCCACAGCTGGGGAGCAATTATCATTATTTAAATTTAAAAAATTGTGTGTGAATAGTGCCATGGATAATCGTGCCTTTGGGGCCAGGCCTTGGCCTACTCCCCCTTTTTGTTTTTGTAAAATTTCTTTGAGGCTTCTATGAGCCCTCTCAATGATTCCTTGACCTTGGGGATTGTATGGGATACCATGTTTTAATTGAACCTCCATCATTTTGCAGAACTCATTGAAGGCTTTGCCTATATAGGCTGGTCCATTATCAGTTTTTAATATTTTTGGTTTGCCCCATGCGGCCCAAGCTGCCAGGCAATGATTGATCACATTAGACACTTTTTCACCTGTTTCTGCTGTTGCAAATATGACGTGAGAACAGGTGTCTGTGGAAACATGAACATATTTAAGAGTCCCAAACTCCTGTATATGTGTGATGTCCATCTGCCAAACATCACCAGGGATCAAACCTCGAGGGTTTACTCCCATCGGTATGGCAGGTTTGTATGTGGCACAGGAGTCACATAGTCGCACGATATCTCGTGCATCTGCTCTAGAAACATGGAAATGGTTTGCTAGTGTCCTGGCATTAACATGAAATTTATCATGGAAGGCACGGGCTCGCTCGATTGGTGTTAGTAAGGTAAAAATCCATAACGGGCGAGTGGCAGTGTCAGCAGCCGCATTCCCCTGTGCCATGGGCCCCGGCAGGGATGTATGTGCTCTTATGTGGGTGGTGAAGACCTTATGGTGTCTGTTCTGAAGCAATGTCTGGATAGACAGGAACAGTCCAGCCACTGTGGAAGTGGATCTAATTAAACTGGCAGTCTCAAGCACTTGCATAGCATTGACCACATACCTAGAATCGGAGACAATGTTAATGGCTTCTGAGAACCGTTCAAGAATCATTTTAACGATCTGCAGTTCTACCACCTGAGGCTGATCTGGTTTAAATTGTATGGTAACCGGGGGCTTGCCTAGGATCACATAGGCGCCTATCCCCGTCTTGGAGCCATCTGTGTATATTGTAGTTGCTGGGACTAATGGCTCAGAGGCAGTAACCTTTGGAAAAATTATAGGGTGCTGAGTGACAAATGACAAGATAGGGTCTTTAGGGTATTGATTGTTTATATCCCCATGGAAAACACATCTCAGAATGGCCCAGGTATCTATGCAGGCAGCCAGGGTCTTGATCTGGCTGGCGGTATAGGGTACTCGGATGGCTCGTGGTCCCGAGCCAAAATGTTGGACAGCTCTATCATGCGCTTCAAGGGCCAATGAAGCGACTGCCTCCAGGTAATGCTCTATGACTTTTGCAGGTGAGACCTTAGGGTGTACCCACAGTAGTGGTCCTTTCTGCCAAATCACCGCTGTAGGCTGTAGACTAGTCTGTAGCAAACAGACATCAAAGGGTCGCCCTGGTTCAATTCTGTGTAAGGTAGCCCCACCTAAGGCTTTTTCCACTCTCTGTAAGGCAGCTCTTGCCTCAGGAGTGAGCCTCCTGTGGGAGGCTATATCTGGGTCTCCCTTCAGAAGGTCGAACAGGGGTTTGAGATCTGAATTTGGTATATGTAAATATGGCCTAATCCAATTAATGTCTCCCAATAGCTTTTGCATGTCATTTAGGGTCCTAACGCCATCCATCCTAATGGTGACCTTCTGCGGAGAGACTAGCATAGGGGAGATTCTCGCGCCTAAGTAGGTCACCATTTCTCCTCCCTGAATCTTGTCGGGGGCAACATGCAGATTAGCTTGTCTCAGGGCCTCGACCAACTGGCTGAGCATATTATTTAGCATGTCTGGGTCCCTGCCGCTGAGCAAAAGGTCGTCCATGTAATGCATACATCTTATCTTGGGAAAGGATTTTCGTAGGGGGGCCAGTAGGGAATCAAGGTAAATCTGACACATAGTGGGACTGTTGGCCATACCTTGGGGCAACGTTACCCACTCGTATCTGAGATCAGGGCTTTCTTGGTTAATGGTGGGCAAAGTAAAGGCGAACCTATGAGTGTCCTCTGGGTGCAGGGGAATTGAGAAGAAACAGTCTCTAAGGTCTATAACATAAACTGGCCAGGACTGAGGGATGGCTGAGAGAGCTGGCAGCCCCCTCTGGACCGCCCCCAGGGGCTGCATCTGCGCGTTGACCGCCCTTAGATCATGGAGCAGCCTCCACTTGCCAGACTTTTTCTTAATTATAAAAATGGGGGTGTTCCATGGGGAGGTTGACGGCTTAATATGTCCTAATCTAAGTTGTGTACTGACTATTTCTGACAAGGCTAATAGCTTCTCCTTAGGCAGGGGCCACTGAGGTACCCAAACCGGATCATTTGATTTCCAGGTGATTTTGATCGAAGTGGGTAGGAGAG